TTAGTTACAATTTTATTATATCTATAGATTACATAGTAGCTTAATTCCGTTCACGCTCACATGTTTTTCTTTGATGTAAAATTATTGATTCCAGCATAATCATGACAGTATACATAACATATATTTTATTTTACCATCGGTCCTTTAAGCGACTGAACTAGATTATAGATTGTTATCGTACATTTTTGACTACGTTAAACTAAGGTGTAATCTACTAGTACAATCATTTCTGTATTTCCACATTCATTCTAGGAAATTTTCATGGACTATCGAATAAAATTATTATCGAGATATATATATATATATATATATATATATATATATATATATATATATATATATATATATTATATCTCTTTGGCTAAGTAATTAAAGCCTACCTATTAAATACATACCTAATCATATATTTTCGAAATCGGTGCCAGACCATATAAAGCAAAGCACACCGACTTCGAATATATTTGATTAGGTATGTATAGTAAATGAAAACTACCAATCAGTTATTTTTTACTTTTTAGTGCTTTTGTTTGAAGTCGGTTTTTATTTTTTTGTTAAAAAGTTTTTATTGACGTAAAAGCTAACGAAACCAACGACCTGTAACATTACAATAGAATACAGCAAACGTTAATATTTTCTTCGACGTATGAAGTAAAATATATTTGTGTTATATTTTATACTACTAAGGTAAAATATCATCAATCATCAAAATCAATTTAAGTATTTGTTTACTAACTTCAAAATCTTACGCGCACGCGACACCGTTTGTATCATGACTTATTTACTTATTACTTGAACCGTGTCTGAACTAAGGAGAAACTCCCCCGAGTTTAAGTTTTAAATTTTTAACAATGAAACACGACAGTGCGACAGCAGAGGAAAATGAATGCCTACAAACCCAATGCCTTATATAAATGTACCTTTGAAATTTTCTAAAGAATGATAAACACCGCTTGCTTCGTTATGAATTCATCTGAAACAGTGGTAGGTTAACAATGGTCTGCATACAACTTTAAAATAAAATTTAAGCTGAACTCAAATGAAAACTTTTTGACTGAAACTTCCGATCCCTGGTATTTATAGTTTCTGTATTTTAACACTAACTACTTATTTAACGTAGCACTCAGAATTATCCTTTAATTTAGAACACTTTAAACTTTTATGCCATTGGACGTGTTTGTTCTCTTTGTTTTCATTATGACATATAAATTAACAAAGTAGCCTCCGTCCTTGATATGTAATAAAGAGTAATTTATGTTAAAATCAGAAAACTGGAAACTACACTCGTGCTGACGGTCTTCATAAAAAATCATAAATGAGAGTTCGTATAAAATACACATACGAGTACTTGAAAAAATAAACAACTAAACATCGATTAAAAGTTACCTAACTATTTTAAAAAGCACAATATAATAAGAACTAAAAAAATAAAACTGCACACTATTGTTGACGAGGACGCTAACAAAAATGATGAAAAAGCATTCAAGTGATCGATAGCTGTTGGCCACTGCAGTGCTGCAGACTCAAGGACGCGCGCCAAGCCTGTCCGATTCCACTGCAAATTATTCTTTGAGACTCAACATATGTTCTTACATTTTTAATTTACTGTTTAATATAACAGTAAATAACAATAATACCTTCGCCTATGATTGAGCTCAATAGAATTAAATATTATTTAAAATCGACTTTTAAACCAATATCAATTATATTATACTCATTCGTGCAAATAAATTATATTACATATGAGATACATATTAGAAGCTAGGTAGGTAACTTTGCGCGCATGTCGCAATTTATTTTCCCTTTTTCATCGTCTCCTGAATTATATGGCTGTTAAGTACTTGTAATTATATATATATATATATATATATATATATATATATATATATATATATATATATAACAAAGTCGGATTTGTTACAACACTTATAACTCTTTTTTAAGATGAACTTCTTTTTTATGATCTTTGTTTTGTTGGATTTGTCTATAAATATAACTATTGAAATATCGGAAAAATTCACGTAAAAAACGAGAAAAGTTATTTGTACCATACTAAGTTTCAAATCTATCGAGGGACGAACCTGCGCAACCGTGAGCGAAGCGAGGGTGGTGGGTTAATTTTTATAAAGAATAATGTATTGTATTTCAAATCAACACTAAGTGACATCTAAGCTTTACTTAGACATAAATACATAGTCATAGTTACACCTCGTCCATCCGTTCTAGATTAAGATTTATATAGAATGAGAGAGACGCAAACTCAGCTTCTGGTCGGCCCACCCGGCATCCGCCGGCCGAGAAGTATTAAATTCAGAGAATAAAGGAGCCTCAAATCGGCTACACATCTCTCATTTTGTTTTATTTTTTTTAATTTAATTTTAAGTTAGTGCAAGTAGTTTTCAAAACGCTCCGGAAAAAAAGTGGCGCAGTCAGGGCGGATTTTCTTATAGACTCCGTAGTCGTAGAGATACGGATCTCTACGACGAACCAAATAAGTATTCTTTTATGTCGCGAGAAGCAGAGAAAACTGAATATGGGAGTAGCGGTCATGTGGTGAGTCAAACATTTCGCTAATCCTTGTTCCACTAATTCTCCTGTATTTTTTATGTCTTTATTCTTAGAAAAGGAACGTAGAGACTTCGTTTAATAAAATTAAATATTGATTTAAAGAAATTACATAAATGTATTAAATTGTTACATAATTAAATATATTATAATAAGTTTAAATTTAAAGAAAATTAATACATACTTAAATGATTTTATAATATTATGTTATTTTATAACTTTTACAAATTATATTTTACCAAAATTTCATTGTTCATTTCATCATTTCTTTTATTATATGTGTGATTTTTTGTAAAAGTTTTTCATAGTTAAAGCTAGATGTATCCTCTGATCATTTCAAGCCTAGTTAATCCAACATTTTGGAGACCCTCGCAGCGAAAAATTAATCCAGGTGAAACTTTTCTCAATTTTTGTAATAGGATCCAAGGTATTCGGTCACTACGACGAAGTATTTCAAAGAAACTGACTAGTCTCTAAAATGTTTGATAGTTTCATTAATGTAACTGAAACAATGAACTAGAACTCTGTTCACTTTCATAATCGTTTAGTAAAAGTTAAAATTTATTGAGAGATTTAGCTGCGAAGCAAAACAATTGGATTTTTGTAACTTATTTTACGGGATGGTTTAGTGCATTTACAAGCAATTTCTCGTACTATTTTTATTAGATTAAGTGAAATAGAAACAGCATTAGTGTTAAGCAGTCTCTATATTACATCAATCATTTGTGAACTCTACAGAATTATTATATCATTTAAAAATTTCTAATTCTGTAAGCTTTGTATATTCGCCAACAGAAACAAATTTGTTAAAAACTAGCAGAACTCGCGGCTTCACTCGCGCTAAATTAATTCACTAAATACGTCAACGTTCAGCTCCTATAAGTACTTTCCGAAAAAACGCCGATCATTACAGTAAAAAGTAAAAACCGCATCCAAACTTCAGTAGGTAGTTCAAAGATTAGCGCGAACATACTCGTATACAGACTACACTGATAGCCGCTCGCCAACGTCGCCTTATACGTCGTCCACATTCGTTCGTAGACATTTTGACTCTTTGTTCAGCTGCTACGCCTACGGCTTGGCACGGCGCTGCGCTACGAAAACTTCGCTTTGTTTCGTAGACCTATTGGTTTGCACTTTGTATTGTATTTTATTATATTTTTAGACCAACCGTATTGTATTTTATTAAAGCTTGGAAGTAAGTAAGAATATTCATAATACGAGTATATTAACTGTAGAATTATATTATATTAACTAACGTTGTTTCGACAGACCGCAAATTGCATAGGATTGCGTGAAGCAAAGGACCTTGACCTGTGATGCAGTTCCTGTTAACTACATTCGAGTATTATAAAAAGTAGACCACACAAGTACTTTCACATACATTTCTAATTAAATTAAAAATTCTAAGCAACTTCGCTATTAACTATTAAGTATTATTATATACATATTTTAAATAATTTTCATTTATTATATAAATTGAATGTGTTGCAAGCTTGCATTTAAAATCACTTCAATAAAAAGATAAGTATATTCAAAGGCATAATATGAAAACAACAATTGGGTTGCTAGGTATGCTATGCACTAAGTGCATACCGCTTACTCGGGTTCGATTCCTTTGAAGTGTACTTCAGCTAACATTTAACTACATATTTTATTTTTTATGTCATATAACATATAGAGCTTCTAATTTAGTACGGTTTTTATCTCTAATTGTTAATAACAACATTTCATTAGGCATTTGTGGTTTTAAAATTTTTAAAACACAAGGTAATTCTTTGATAATGATTTCCATACCGCTTTTACTTTATATTTTAACGATTTTTGTTTGTTTCACGAGATTTGTTTTCCTTATGAACTTATTAACTCAGCGTATATAGTGAAACCACGGTAATATTACATACAGTATCATCTTCATACAAACGGTCGGAAATCAAGTTATACCTACGCGCGTCGCGTTCGGTATACGCTCGGTAGACAACCGTGCGGGGCTGCCACATCGTATAATTGTATACTAAAATTGTATAAGGTGGTTATGTTATGTAACTTTTATAATGTAATACAAAAATATACATTTTATTCCTCCCGTAACTTCGCTAATGTCAAACAAGAAAGTATCGAGACATGCATCGTATGTTTTAAAAATAAAAATTAAAGTATTTATTTCAACTATTATGTTAAAAAAAGTGTAATTGAGCACAAGTATATAACACCATTGAGACGCCTATAACCTTAGTCTCTCCCGTGACTATGATTTCTGTAAAGCATTCTAAAAGTCGGGAGCCAAAAATCAAAATAAATCCGCGAAATAATCCGAAAAGATGAGATACGGATTTAAAAAAAATAAATTTGTTTCAACTATTACTACAAACTAAGTTTCTACCATTTTTAGCGATTCCGACGTACGTGAGCAAACTTTAAATGTGTGTTTGTTACAGAGATGGAAATCGTGCCCGAGGGAAAAAACTTCCGATTGGTAACCGAAGACGAGCTCCCAGCGGTGGCCGATCACTTAGTGCAGTATATGCCTGAATCTTTAAAGGTAAATCATTATTAATAAGAATCTACCAAAAAGGTTCCAATTGGGTTCTTGAAAGTTGTATAATTTAAATTACGCTAATTTCTTTTTCTAAAGTAACCCCTTGCAACAAACTAATAACCTAGGGACGATTATATATTTATCGAAATAAAATATCCTATAATAGCTACTCTCTGACTCACAAACTATTTCAAAATTCAAAAATGTCAAATATTCATTATACGAACTCTCTTAGGAGATGAATTTTCGAAAACTCTTGTTAATACTCATTTACATTATATACCTAAGAAAAATTTTACACTTTTTATTGTGTCCAAAAGGTGTTTTCCAACCCACGCCTTTAAGACTAAACTAAACTGAAGCCGCTTAGCGGCAACTATCACAACTATGCCTGCTACGAACCAGTTATAGTATATAACAAACAAGTATATAGCAGTAACTTAAAACCAGGGATTAATATAAAAATATATTATAAATTATATCTATGAGTATTTCTTTTGAAAGACACTTAGCATTTAATAAATACATATCGGATTTCTACAAAGATTAAAACACTATCAACGAAGGATTAATATGGCTTCCCTTGTTATTGATTTCGGAATTGGAGCCAACATTTTTGGGCAACTAGCCAATTAAAATTCCAGAAACAATGTTTCACTTATTTAATGACGAAAGTTTATTAATCTTATTAATATTACAAATGTAAAAGTTTAGGTGGACACTTGGATGTTTGTTACTCAATCACGCCAGAACGGCTGAACAGATCTGGATGAAAGGCACAGAGATAGATTATAGTCTGGAATAGCAAGCACATAGACTTTTATAATATATTTGAATATAAAGTAATATTTTTTTTACAAGGACACTCGGACTCCTTATATAACCAAATCTAGTAAAAGTGGGAAAATTGCGGGTATTTATGGTGGTGGGCATTTTTCAATGAAATCTTTTATCTGCGAAGTTATCTTCGTTTCGGACAGTTCTGAAATGCTGATATTGTAAATGTAAATATTTATCATTAGTAATCACATCAAACATAAAATATATTTTACGTACTGTAAAAATGTACAGTTCTCGTTGGGATAAATTTAACACTTGTAATACTTGCACAAACGACAGTACAAGCTTTACTATAATAATAGATCAAATATGTAGTTATAACATTTCATAGTATAATATTTTAATTTTCATTTATTAATAATTATTAAAAATATAATACTTAAAAAAAACAATCATTTCAAAATAAAAAGTAATCAAAATGGATATAAATTTACGTAGAAGATTTCACTGCATAACCTGAGAAGGCCTCTTTCTGGTCACATTAAAACCACTCGCAAGTCTTGCAAAAACCTAATATGAAGGATTAATATATAATCTTTCTGAGTATTTGAATTTTACCAATACGAAGGTGTATAATTTGTCCTTTTTCCATACAGAACCAGGGCATAAGATTGACATGATTTTTTCCCCTAGAGGCATTTTGTGAGCTGGAGGATGTCATAGAGTAATTTTTATGGTGGTACATAATTAGTTTCGGCAGGATAGATTTTTATATTATAACTAGCGGAAACAAAAAACCTATCCTACGGGAACCGTACATTTTTCCGGGATAAAAAGTAACCTATGTTTTATTTCAAACTATAAGCTATCTCTGTGCCAAATTTTATCCAGATCCGTTTAGCCGTTCTGCCGTGACGTGAATAGATAGATATAGATAGTTTAACAAATGTTCGACGTGATTCTTTAAATTGGCATAACTTTTTTATATTTTTTGAACCGATTGACGTGAAACAAACCCTAAATATTAAGTGAAGCTTACCACAATATATTAGTGAAAACCACATCTAAATCGGATAAGCTGTTTCCGAGATTAGCGTGCACAAACACACAGACAAACAGACAAAAATTCTAACAATAATTGTTTTGGATGCTATTTGCGTTGATAAAGGTCCCAAATAATATTTTTTCTTATATATCTTCCTTGTACAGACAGCGATCCGTTATATTTTTATTATATGTATAGATGAGTTTCACATTTTACAAATATTTAAGCATTGGCCGTGAGTCTTAGCATACTTTTAACATCAATACCTTTTCTGTTTCAAGTTTCACCAAACGATTCAAACATATCTTAACAACAAGGTGTGGGACTTCCATTTTTATGTAGCGAAAAATTGGCCGGAGGATCCAATTTGCCTACATTTTCCTGGCTGTACCAGCACGGTAAGAATTTTTGTATATATTTTCATCATAAAGCGTTTTTCATTTTAATTGTTAAATATTCCAATTAAGTTAAAAATGAAATTAAAAATGCTTAGGCAGACTTTTGAATTTTTTCTCTATTATTATTCTAAATATTTCTTGTGTAATTTTAAGTCTAGCACACATTTGTACGCCTTCATCTTAAGAGCTTTAAGTAGTCTCAACATGAGTGATACCTTTTCATAAGAATATAATTTTAATTTTACAGAGCTGTTTTGTAAATTATTCCATAAAACATAAACTAGGTCAAATAAAAAGACATAGAAAAAAGTTTCAACACTAAGCACTTTGGCTTTTGATAGATTTTTCATTCATTTAGGCAAACTTAATTTTTAGGCGTGTAAAGCATATTCAGGGAAACACGTTGAGTGCTCTTCAATTAGTGTGACTCTACATTTCTATTTTCTTGATACGATTTATAATATTCACATAGCATAATGAATTAGCTATATTTTACATTATAATCATGTATTTTATAACAATCTAGCTATTTGATTCAATTGTACTAAATCAATAATTTAAATAACGAATATAACGGACTTCTTCGTCGAATATATTATGTACATTTATGTTTAGTAATTTAGGATCTTTACTAATTTCTGCAAACTTCTTTGACTTTCAGCCAAACAGTCATCCTTATGAAAGCGTGACAATATTTTGTCCATCTGAGCGTGCGGAGTTGGTTGACTTGTTGACCTCTGAAGACATACTGCTGGATCTCACTCAACCGCTGTACCTGAACTTTACTCACGAGGCAATTGTGCAACGCTTTGAAAAGCGCTATGAAGCCCACGACAAAATTACTGGAGATGTATACGTGTGTGACAAACCACTAGAAGAAACTAATACTGATGAGTACGAACAAATATCACATTTATATATACCTAATTACAAAAAATTATATTGTAAATATTTTAAATCAATGACTATCAATTTTCTAATTATATACAGTTTTACATACTCTACATAATTTATCTACTAAATATATTTAAAGATAGTAAAGTAATATACATAAAATCATTATTTTCAGACTTCCACCGGACGTGGAGTTAGTTCGCCTGCAACCAGAACACATGAAGGCAGTTCACGATTTATATCCAGCCAGCGACATCGAGTGTAGGGAAGTGTTTGAAAAGCTGGTCGCCGAACTGCCCGCTTACGGCATCTTTGTAGAAGGACAATTAGCGGCTTGGATGGTACAATCGTATTATGGCGCCATGTTTTCCATGCAAACACGTCCTGAGTTCCGTAGGAAAGGCTACGGCATCTTTTTAGCGAGACGTCTAACCAAGGAGGTCGCCGCTCGAGGCTATAAGCCCTTCGTTGTGATTCGTCCGGAAAACGACGCGTCCCGTTCGCTCTACTCTAAGCTCGGCTTCGAAAAACGTTTCCGAACTGTTCGCGCCGTTTTGCGTCCTCGCTAACGCGTAAAGTTGATCACTAGCAGATTTTATTTTTTTAAGACTTTTGAAATAAAAAAAATCAATTTAGCTTGCGATCTTTGATCGTTTAGAAAATTTTAGTAGTAGCTAAGATGGAGCGGCTCGTGCTTTCGGTCTGCATGTGATATTATTTTTTGATTTCAATAAAACAATGGAGTAATTTAAATATAGATGCGAATTAAGATATGATCTTGACTTGTGAACTATGTAGGTGTTTGATATGTTTGTAAGTAGTTATTGTAGTTCGATGTATTAGTACAAAAGTTTCTTTAAGAATTTCTGATAAATTAAACATTATTTTCATAATGGCAACTAATAGCAGATTCGAAAGCTGTAGTCGTTCGCTGCGTTTTAGCGCCAGCCTAGTATCCAATCTCAGTGACGCTAACTTGTCAAGAATTTCGAAATGTTAAACCACACTATCGAGTATAAAAGCTTTCACAGTGTAGAATTTTCGTTTGCTTTGCCTTCTCTCTTCACTAACGCTCAATTTTTTACTATTAAGCAGGACTTAGAGTAATTTATCGATTTCAATCTCGTATTTCTTGACAATTTAGCTTTTGAAATATCTCATTTAGGCGAACGCTTCATTACCACTCGTTGATCGAGCGGAACTATTCTGTCTCATGGTTTATGAAATTTTGGGACCCGTTATGATCTGTGTAATAAATGAAAAGTATTCCTACGTTACATACAGCTACGTATTGTGAGTAAGCCACGTACAGAACGACATGAGAAAGAAAGTTACCGAGTACTCGAGTTGCACAATTCAAAGATATAAGCACCATTAATGTTCATCTGACGCTAGGAATACGGTTTCTATAAACAATAAGGGCTATAATTTTTTCAACACCCGATGAGATTCATTTAGCCATTAAAATCAGGTGGAATTATACACTGTCTCAGTATAGTAGGTTTTGATAGATTTTGATAAAAACATACATAGGGGAAGAGTTACATATTTTATTTATTTTATACTTTTGCTATGTTTTTGATATGACAAAAGGATATTGAAAGGCTGGAACAAGTATTGAAAGTTGATGTGACGTGTTTTATACATAGTATTTCAATAAAATTGTCGCCTATTATAGATAAACTGTGTTTTATAACCAGTTTTCGTTTAATATGACTTTTGTAGTAGGTACTCTGTTTTTATAAAACAAAGATCATTGACGAGTAACGCGATAAAATCAATAAAATTTGATACGAAAAGTAGATAGGTAGGTATTTTAATATGGGAAACTATTTTACAATTATATATCGGCGTAGTTTATTAAAATTTGTATCCAAAGTATACCTGCGATTGTAAAATATTTTTTTTTATCTTATTATGATATTTAGTTATACTTATACTTTTGTAATAGCTTTATACTTTTACGTTTAGTTTATTGTTATATTATAATAATTGAGGACTTGTCTTCCTAAGACTGTATCGTATGACAGGCATGGGTGTAATGTTGGCTACTGACTATGAAAAGTTTCTGACCGTTTCATAGAAATAATTTATGTTCAATCAAGAAAAAGGTTTATTATTTTATTCTTTCGATACATTCAAGAAGCACTTTTTAAAACTGGCACATAGCTTATATGAATATTGGCATTAATATTAAATTTTGCTCAATATTTCCGAGCTTCCACCGTTCATTAAAATTGTGTGCGTAATTTCGAATAAAATGGAAAGGCCAAAATTACCTTTAAAGAGTTAAAAAATAATTTTACCTTACTCATTAAAAAAATAACGAATGTAAATCCTAGGATAATTAACAGTTTAATAATTATTACCTATGAGCATTAAATAAATCATAATTTGACTTTTTTTTTCAAATAAGTAGACGAGTATAAAATGGAAACCCACTAAAGAGCTTTTGGAATAAAGCATAATATGCTAATTAAAATGACGCCTAAACCATTTTATAATAAATAACACTAATATGATCGTGAATTTATTATCTAACGTCTAGCGTCCACGGTACTTAAAGCACCGTCTACTTATTTTAAAAAGAAGGGTCATTATAAACATGCAATCATGCTAAAAGCTTTCCACATTCCTACTCTCCGTAGGTAAATACGATTAAGTAGTTCGAAAATTTCTTGAAATTATTAATTGTAAGAGCAGTTTTCTGAACACTTTCCCTTGCCTAATAAACAATGAGGTTAACAGGACACGTCTCCGTCCTAGACACTGCAGTTGACGCAAATGTAATCGCAGCATATTTTAAAAGAATATTTAATAACTTCTGCAGCTACATAAATAATGTAGTGTCCGTTCTGTATTGTTTATCACATTTACCTTGCAAAAGTATCAAGAAATTAATAAAATTATATATTATAATGTGTTTATTTTATTTTGTCCTATCCCATTTAAATAGTACTTACATAAACAAATTATACGACTAATCTATACATATAATAAAATTCTAACTGAGCCGAATCTGTACATTAAATATTTTTTGGAAAATCTTATTGAAATAGACATTATTATCGACACCAAGACCGAATCTATACTTTTGAGAATTTTTGTCTGCCTGTCTGTCTGTCTGTCTGTTACCGTATCACGGAAAAACCACTGGAGGGATTTTGATGTGGTATGGTGATAGCTGGTTATCCGGGTCAACATATAGAATACTTTTTACCGCGGGAAAATATCTCATTTCTGAGAAAAAATACAAAAACTGCAATGTAGTAGTAAGAGTATACTAATATGTAAAACTTAAGATTTTGGTTTTTGCTCATCTGAACACGGACGGAGCCGCGGGCAATGCTAGTATTTAATAAAATTCTAACTGAATCGAATCTGTATATTAAATATTTTTTGAAAAATCTTATTCAAATAGATATTATTATCGATACAGAGGCCGAATCTATAGTTTTTAGAATTTTTGTCTGTCTGTCTGTGACCGCACCACAATAAAACCACCGGACAGATTTTGATGAAATTTGTTATGATGATAGCTAGTTATCCGGGTCAACATATAGGATACTTTTTACTGCGGGAAAATATCTCTGAGAAATCTAAACTAAACATTAAAAGTTAAAACGTAACTCCTTTCGTCCCTACGAACCCGAGCGGAGGGAGGGTGAGACGCTAATCTAACTTTAAAAATTAAACAATGTTGTAAATGTAAAAGTTGTGAGAGATTGTATTTGTTAGTCTTTATACGCGGCCACCATTATTCTGTATACACAGTGGCCTAACGAACGCCAACGAATGGGTTTCGTGTCCTGTCTGGGCGGCTTAGAGAACGCCAACGATCGTTGCTCGACCACTAAATGTATTTGGACGTACCTTCGAAGGCCAACAAGCGTGCGGTAGCCAAAGCTGTCCGCTAAATATCCTTCTTTGGCGTTTATAAGGCAGTGTGTACGCAACATTACGCGTAATGATACCATTCATGGATGACAAATAAAAATACCATTCGATATCACTCTCACTGACACATAGGTAACTGGAAACAGTGCTTCGCTTGTGATTTGCGTTACGCCGAGTCCTTCTTTTTATTGTAGTCCATGTTAATGAAACAATTTATAACAAATATCCGAATCTTTAAAAAATATATTCTAAATTACTAAATTGAACCTACACAGAAAGTAAAACCTCCGCTACATACTATCTAAATATATGAAATGTACAAATGAAGTATTTCAATATTTTATTTGCATTAAACGAAGAATTATTGTTAGAAAAAGAAACGATTTCGTTTAGAAAAACGAATCTTACAAACGATTTCTCTTTAATTAGGCTTATCAAAAATTTAATTTATTAATTTTCTGGCTAACTTGACCGAAAAAATCCTCTCTGATTTTCGAAAAAACTAATAACCGAATGAAACCATATATAGGCAAAAAAAACAATCGAAAATTACGTGGCTAAATTGACAAAGCCAGTTGCCAGATGGATGTTAATATGCTTTTTACATTAGTATTTTTATTTGTCATCCATGATTAGTATAACCAGCCTTAAATTTTTATGCTTATCTGTATTGGTGTACTAATTTGTTGTTCCTGGTCTGTGGTTTATTTGTCATTCATGCCCCATGGTCTGTGTTATTAATCATGGATGACAAATAAAAGTACGGAGGGTAGTACCCTCCGTAAATAAAAGTATGGAGAATAGAAGTATGGAGGACCGTCTTGTATGTCCATGGTGGATTAGTTGAAAAAGTTGTAAACAGCAAATTATTGTTCGAACACTCACCAAAATAGCGCTAGTGTAGGAAATGGAAATGAATAAAATGATATGGATTTAGCAGTTATAAACAGAGTGAAGTGTGCTGGGTTCAAAATTTGCTTGTTACAATTTTTTTTAATTTTGGTTAGTATTTAATACTATTTTCTATTTGCTATTTACAAATAATTGAGGTATTTATAAATACTGTATAATTTTATTCCATATTCGTATTTGTCTGTATATTATAATAATTTTAAAAAAATGCGCTGTAACAAAGCGGAAATTTTTCTTTCCTTTTTAATTTACTATCCTACTCTAATAATTTGTGGTGCTCCTTTTAAAATTCTTCTACTTGCTACTATAGCGCCACCTTAATTTGCTCCCCTTCAACGGACACTTTTTAATACACTGAGATGGTCCTCCTTACTTCTACCCTCCATAAAATAAAAGTACCTATTAAGTATTAATTGTCAAACTCAAACTACAAAGTACAAAATGGTGAACTGTTTTGCTTGATGCAATGTTTTTATGATCAAAAATATTATCGAGTGAAAATTACTAACTATAGTGTATAATATTTAATCATTGTAAAAATGGCTACTTTAATAGATAAAATAGAAATGTTAATTAAGAGAGAAAAAACTACACCGGAACGTAAAAAAGATGATATCACTAAATCTTCAAGTGAAATACTCTCTGAATTGTTTAGTGCCTTTAATGCCGACCCACCGAAAATTGATGAAATTCCTCACAAAAAATCTAAAAAAAGTAAGAAAAAACACAAAAAGGAGAAAAAGAAAAGAAGTCGTAGTGTTAGTTCTAGCAGTGGTTCTGACAGAAGTGACTACTCCCATAAACGAAAGAAAAGAAAGAAAAGTAAGTCAAAAAAACGTAAAGAGGATCGTTCTCCTACTCGGCGACGATCAAGAACACCTCTTATTATTAAATCGGAAATAGATACATGGAAAGCAAAAGCTAAAAGTGAGCCAGAACATGTCAAACCTCTCAATCAATCAAAGCAGCAAAAAGAAGAATCAAAAGTTAAAAAAGAGATTGATAGACAAGTTTGTGTTAAAACTGAAGATTCCAACAACTTAAGTGTTTCATTTAACAATATTGACACGAGTATGATTCCGATGCCAGAATCTCCGAAAGAAAGTAAAGTGGTTCCTATTGATCCTCAACTTAAGGTAGATAAAAAAGTAGAATCTACAACAGAAACTGATAAAACTAAGGGTAAAATTCAAATAAAAAATTTAAAGTTTAGTACAGTATTTGAAGAGACTGTAAAAAAGGCAGAAGAAGAAGCAAGAAAAAAGGCTGAAAAAGTTGAAGAAGGTGAATATACAGACTCCTCAAGTAGTTCAGGAAAAGAAGAAGAACTAAACTTACAATTTCCTAAATCATCAGATCCTGGTGGTATTTTAAAAAAGCAAGCTGCTGAAGAAATTAAAGTGTAAGCACTTAAGAATTTCTCCAAAATTAAATAAACTACATTTAAATAATGAAGTGTTACAAATAATGTTAATAATCTAATATGGGTAAATTATTCTTTGCAGTCCTGAAGAAGAAAAGTTGTCAAGTAAACATAAACATACAGAGAGCTCACATAAATCTATACGCAGAGAAAGAAGTAAATCTAAAAAAAGGTAATTTACACATTGAGATTATTTTAAAGAAAATAATAACTGTTGTTTTTTTTTTCAAAATTAGTAATAATAATTCGTTATAAGGTAAGAGTTGGGTTTTATTTTAGATTGAATTTTAAAATTAACATGTGCTATTTTGTTTAAAAAAAGAAGTATTTCGCACTAAAAACTAGACTATATTACAAAAATTGTATCTTGTTACTTTTTCAAAATCAATGATAATTAGTTATATTATGTATATAAGAGTAAAGTTTTTTTTTGGGTGAATTTTAAAATTAACTTGTATAATGAGAGTTAACATGTTTGAATTCGCCACAAGAGGATCCAGTGTAGGGTGAGGTCCCTGGAAATGTCAAATAACACTAAATGTATACTATTTCTGAGATTTTCATTGTGGATCTTCACTAGTATTGTAAACATTGTGCCATACCTAATTAGTTATAGCAAACACAGTATGGACTATTGATATAAAAGAAGAACTAAGAAAAAGACAATATTTTGTCTATTTTGTTACTATATATGAATTATTTAAAACAAAATCCTGATAAATTGGAGCCATGCTAACATTATTATTAAATTAAATTTATGGCCCTGCTATACTAACAAATACTTTTTAATGACAGTATTAGAACCATACTAGTCAGAAACATGCTAGTCAATGGTGCCAACTGGTGCTGCTAAAAATGATGCCCTCATTGACTGCTCATTATTCTGAATATAGTGAGAACAGAAAATATGCATCATCATTTTTTTTTTAAATATTACACAAGTCTGTCTTTATCCTTGACATTAAACTAAAGGCATATAAAAAATCATCAGGAACCAATTACTTGATTTCTAGTAAACATTTAAGTTTGGATGCTTTTATTATTTGATTTGTTTTTAATGAGTCTTATTCATCATATTTGTTCTAACATGTTTCTAGTCTTTTTAAACTATGATTATTATAGATCAACAAGCAAATCAAGACGCTCAAGATCAAGATCTCGAAGGCGACATAGATCAAGATCCAGGTCGAAACGTAGAAGCCGCTCCCGTCATCGTTCACGGTCACGTCGAAGATCTAAATCTCGTTCTAGACACAGATCATCATCAAAATCTAGACACAGATCTAGGCATTCTCCTAGACACAGAGGAAGGAGATCTAGGTATATTGATACTGTTCAATATCTTTAATAGAAAGGATTATTATTTCATGTTAAATTTATTTTTTCTTGCGTCTCAAGTGACTTTCTTACGCTATATAATTTATATAGAAACGCAACAACAATTAGAAAAGAATTATTAATAATTACTGAAAATTATTAAAAAATAATTACAACAATTGGTTGGTCTTGTTTTGTATTACCACAAAATAACTGTTCCCTTAATTCACCATTAATCATTAGGTATAGCAGCAATTACTATTAACAACTTTTAAATAACATTAAATGTGACATATTGTAGATCTCCGACTGGTGTGAAACTAGCAGATAGTGAGAAGAAACGTCTTTTAGAAGTAGCTAGACGCAATGCTATAAATATGCTCAAAAACGGTGCAGTCCCGGCGGGCGCGGCCGTGCTGCCGCCGCATACTAGGAACCAGGTCATGGCTGCTATACAGTCTGGAGGTAAGTCAAGAAAGTAATTGAAGTGTTCAAATAATTGTATAATACTATGAGGTGTATTGCTTCGGTTTATGATGCTAGTAATTGGACCATCTATATCAAGTCTTGAAGGAAAAAAAATATTATGATTTTTTGTGGTTTGAAATATATATTTAAAAAAAAAACACTATAAATTATCTCAGTACTATATAAATGTGAAAGTTTGGGTGAATGGATGTTTGTCACTGAATCAGGACGGAACAGCTGAACGGATCTGGAAAAAAAATTGGCACAGAGATTAGAGTTTGGAATAGCACATAGGCTACTATTTATCCCGGAAAAATATGTTTCCCGTGATATAGATTTGCATTGTTATTCACTAGGGACAAACCCGAGCGAAGTGCGGGTGAGCTGCTTGTATTTAATATATCCATAGTCCATAGTATTATATATATATATAAAATTTCCATGTCACAATGTTTGTTACCGTACTCCTCCGAAACGGCTTTACCGATTTTTACCAAATTTTATATGCGTATTCAGTAGGTCTGAGAATCGGCTACTATTTTTCATACCCCTAAGTGATAAGGATAAGGGTGGTCCTCCCAGACCCCACCCCAGGAACGAACCCGAGCGGAGCGATATATATATATATATATATATATATATATAATATAATAAATGTGAAATATATATATATATATATATATATATATATAGTATAGTACGTTTTAACGATTAGCATGGAATAGAGAGACAATATATTATATACATAATGTATAATAATATCTTTTCCCGTGGAAATGAGATAATCTCTCTAAAATATATATATATATATATATATATATATATATATATATATATATATATATAATATTATAAATGTGAAAGTTTGTTTATCCTTCTTTCACGTCAGAACAGAGTGACGGATTGTGTGAAGATATTTAAATGACTAGAGTGTGACATGGCTACGTTTTACCGCGAGAGATTATCTCATTTCCACGGGAAAAGATATTATTATACATTATGTATATAATACATTGTCTCTCTATTCCATGCTAATCGTTAAAACGTACTTAGAGACGAACCCAAGCGAAGTAAGAGTGAGTCACTAGTACGTAATAGTACTTTAAAAAAAATGTTTTAATTTAAAACAATATTTTTAATTATAAAAATATATTTTGTATTTACAGGTAAATCAGTGGATGAACTGACAGACTTTTGCAAACACCTGTCAAAGAAAGAAGCACTCGGGGAACTGTCTTCTGTCTCATCCAATGACGATGATATGAGCGAGAACGAAGATACTATCGCCTTCCATCATCCATTTCTTGTTAAGGAAAAAGCACCTATTGTTATGAATATTCGGGTAGGTTAAATATTTTTAATATGTAATGAAAAATAGTTTTGTTTTATTGGGATTTTATAAATTATTGCAAATATATTTTCAATTAAGTATAATATCATGATTTATTACAATTTATATGCAACTAATGACTCACCCTCGCTTTGCTTGGGTTTATCAGGTAGGTTTTAACGGTTAGCATGGAGTAGATAGACTAGTCTAGCCCTAGCTTGCTTCTCAATACAAATTTTCATCCTCATTTTCACCTTAAGGGGTGATTTCCGTGATAAAAAGTATCCTTTGTCCTTCCCAGGGTCTCAAACTATCTTCTTACCAAATTTCATCTAAATCTGTTTAGTAGGACCAGAGATTACCTATAACGTGAGTTTGTAACTCACAAACTTCACCTCTTTATAATATTAGTATAGATACTGCTCCCTTAGGTTGTAGCATGATGATATAGCCTATAGCCTTCCTCAATAAACTGTCTATCTAATACAAAAAAAAATCAAATCGGATTAGTAGTTTCTGAGTTTAGCACATTCAAATAGACAAACTTTGCTTCTTTATAATATTAGTATAGATAATATTTACAATTGCGATTTTCTCACAGTTTAATTCTTATGTTTTAGGGAGGTGCACCTCTGCCAACAAAATCAAGCACATTACCTATAGCTAATAAGGAGGAACTCAGACTGCAGTTTCCAGTGTCTTCGGGCACTCAACACAGGGAGAAAGCATCTGAATGGGTTCCTGTCTCACCTAAAAAGGATAACATGGTAAATTTTGTCTACTTTATAATAAGTAAATGTATGAAATAATAGCAGGTAATGAAAAATAAAAACACATCTTACTTGCTCTTTACTTTGGAAGTTTAGAAAAAGAAATAATTTTTCAAGTTAATCAAAAATTTATATAAGTACATACTAGCTTACATTCACTTCTCTCGGGTGTGACACTATGCTTAAATGGTTTAGGAACGTGTAGATTATGGTAAATTAATTACTATAATTTTAATAAAATTCACTAAAACTATTCAATTCAAATACTTTTTAGAACACTTAATAATCTCTTTGTATGGGAGATTTTATGGTTATGATAAATGTTAAAGTATTTTTTGTTAAACAGTTTGTTTTTTATTTTACAGCAACTAGTAAAACTGAATACAAAACCCACCGTACCAAAATTAAGTCCTACTGTAGAAGCAATAAGGTAAAATTTTGAAATATATATTATGTAGTAATCAGTTTTTGAATACATATATATAACTTTGATAGCACGCAATTGTATGTGTATTTCAATGTAATTCAAATAACTGCAAGTTACATAATCTTTGAAGTGAAACTTCTTTAGAATCGTTGTGATTTGAAAGTAGATGAAACGGGAATGCGACACTAAAAAGAGACAAACATATAAATATATAGGATTAAGCCGGCGAGAGAATGAGATAGAATACATAACCATGTTGCCATGGTAACCGTTGTTATTGTCTGACCAATATATAATAAATATTATATTCTTTCCGTATATTCAATAAATATTCTATAAATATATGATTGTAATATTATTTAATTATTGATTTGTTTTAATTTATTTGCGAAATTTGCCAAAGAAGTTTTACTTCAACCGCGCGTGAAGGTTAAGCACAAATTTTTTTTAAATAAAATTTAAACATGTTAGATCTCGCGTAGCAAAAGTTACATTTGATTATATCATGTGCACGGTGTTGTGTTTTTATATCCATTTTAATTAACCCCCGACGCAAAAGAAGGATGTTATAATTTATCCGTATTATTATTATTAATAAAATTATTATAAATGTGAAAGTTTGGGAGGATGTATGGATTTTTGTTACTCTTTCACGCCTGAACGGCTGAACGGATCTGGATGAAATTTGGCACAGAGATAGATTGTAGTCTGGAATAACACATATGCCACTTTTTATCCCGGAAAAATGTACAGTTCCCGTGGGATAGGTTTGTTTTTGTTTTTCTAGAGGTGAGCTGAGCGAAGCGAGGTGAGCCGCTAGTTTTCGATACATTAATATAATAAAATTTTATTTACTTAAAATGTACCAAATTTTATTTGTTTGAATATTTTCAGTTCAGAGGCCATAGCTTTGCCAGCGCCTGCGTCGACACAACCGTCCTACATGAAAAGCTTCACTACTGGCAGTCGTAAGTAACAAAAGAATTTGTAAATTTCCGTAACTTTTATTTCCTCTCACATTGGATTTACACAGTAATGTACTGCTCCACTGCCCATCTATACAGATAAATAACATTGAAGTGTCTGTTTGTAATGTCAAAATAACAGCTTTTTACTCAATGCATATGGATGTATACACGGTACATATACCAAAAAAACATTTTTTACAATTTTTGTCTGTCTGTCTGTTTGTTCCAGCTAATCTCTGAAATGGCAGGGCCGATTTTGACGGGACTTTCACTGTCAGATAGCTGATGTAATAAGGAGTAACTTAGGCTACTTTTATTTTAGAAAAAAACATGGGTTCCTACGAAAAAAAATTAAAACCAATGAAAAATTTAATAACCGATTCAAATAGGAAAGTTTTATACATACCCTAGGGACGTTCCCGAGTAAAGCAAGGGTAAATCGCTAGTTTTTAATAATATTCGAGAATATTTTAAATAGCATGACGGTCACACGATACATTTTCATTCCTTTGAAAGGTAGTGGTATAACATATATGTACATTTGTATGTAAATACAAAAGAACGTATATATGTAAATACAATGCCGTATGAATCCATTCTTAGATAGATTTTCAAAAATTCTATCTTAGTGAATTGAATGAATCAGTAATAACGATTAGGTGAATGGTTTATTAATGATTAATTTGTTTTGTCCAGAGCTATCATCGGTTCCCGCGTTGCCGGCGCCCGGACCACAAGCGTACCCGCCAGGTGTCGATTCTTCTAAAATTGTAAGTTTATATCGGTCACTACTTGTATTTATAATAATATAAAATTTTGTATGTGTGTATATGCCTGTGTGTATGTGTATATTTGTTACTCCTGCACACTAAAACAGCTGGACAGGTTATTTGAAATTAACTACACAGATAGTTTATGTGCTGTTAGATACTTAGGGGTCCAAGCAAAGCAAAAGTAAAGCGCTAGTTAATTATATGATTCAATCATATAATGTTTTTTTTTTAATTACCCCTAAGAGATCATGTAAGTTTCAAATTTTAAGTGTAAATTTAAGAAAGCATAATACTTATTCGTCTATAAGCTTTCAGCTTTTATATGATTTCTTCTCTAAGAATAAGTATCTTTTTTATTAAATATAATTTTTTTTTATTAAATGTATATATTTTTTTCCTAGGATATGGCGTCCATTGTATCGCAGAAGTTGTCAATGATTCGTAAAGAGCAAGAGGAGAATGAGTTAGCGTCTACAAGGGGTGTAAGTGTGATTATGATTTTTATATAAAAAAATATAATAGGGTAATTAGTTGGGCTACCAAAATTTTTGGCCATGCTTCTGCCATCTCGATATGTAATCATCATGAATCATGCAAAAGGCAAGGTCTTACAGCAGAAATAAAGGAAAAATTCCAAAAAATAAAAAAGTTGAAAATGAAAGTTAAATAGATTTTCTACAAATTTGTACGGAACCCTCAGTGGGAGAGTCTGACTCGCACTTGTCCGTAATTATTTTTTGTAGTTTTATCGCGAGCGAAGCCGCGAGTTCTACTAGTAGGTATATAGTTGTAATATATAGTGTGTCCCGCGGTCTCGCCGGCAGTTCGGGTGGTCGAAGGAGTCGCGGCCGGGCCAGTTCACGGGCTCCACGGGCGCGCACATCCTCACGCCGCGCGAGCTCGCCAGCGGCACGCAGGCCTGGGCCAAGAAGGTATCACACCACACTCTATTTGTTCTCTTTTATTTTTTAAGTATAATAATAATATATTCATTTAGACAGACAGAAAAGCCCGTTTATACTGCATACAAAACAAGAAACCTCGTTTACATATAAAAATAAGTAACTAAATAATATAGCCGTGAGTGTGACTTAACTTTATGACCTTACTACTCGTAATGTATAAAACTGTACTTTGACATATATTCACTAGCGACTCACCCTCGCTCCGTTCGGGTTCGTCCCTACATACGTTTTAATGTTTAGTATAGATTTCTCAGAGATGAGATATTTTCCCTCAGTAACAAGTATCCTATATGTTGACCCGGATAAACAGCTATCATCATACCGAATTTCATCAAAATCTATCCAGTGGTTTTCCCGTGATGCGGTAACAGACAGACAGACAAAAATTCTAAAAACTATCGATTCGGTCTTTGTGTCGATAATAATGTCTATTTCAATTAGATTTTCCAAAAAATATTAAAAATATACAGATACGGCTTAGTTACGATTTTTTTAAATGTATAGCATTATATTATTAACATTTAATAGTTCAGCGGTTCCCAAATTGTGGTTCGGAACCCTAAGGTTCCATGGAAAGATACACGGGTTCCGACTTCAAAACAAAACGTCAGACATGAAGTGTTATTTTAATATACATATGAAAAAAAAATCATACATCATATTAAATAGTTAGGTTAAATTTTGTGTACAATAAATATTATTAAATTTGGTATTCATATTTTTCATTTATGATTTGTTCTTTCAAGATAAATAAGAAAGTATTCTTACTATGACACAATCAGTTAAGTTATTATCAAAGTGGAGATCTGTTAAAAAAATTATGATCAATTAGGGTTCCGTGGCCAAAAAAAAAATTGGAATCGCTGAAATATTTTATTACAAAGAAAAAATAAAATTAACATAATACTTTCTCTCATAGATTTGCGTGAATATTTGGATTTATTTTAATTTTTGGTTCCCGACGTTTCGAATGCTTGCTTTACAGCAATCATGGTCACGGGAGAGACTACCGTACTAATAACATGTAAAAACTGCAACGATTTGTGACGATATTACAATTATTATAACTTAATAAATACGATTTATTAAAATTAATAAAAATAAATGTACCTTGTGTATCTTCTGTTCATAAGATATAATACGGATTTTTGTTATTTTGAGATTTTTTGTAAATGGCGATTCTGTAGGGTATATTATAATCTATAGAATTGCCATCGTCTATGTAATGCTCGCTAATTATATATTAATTATTTTCTTGTTTTCTTTTAGTTAGGTATAGGTCATAGGGAATTTATTAGAAAAGGCGGTTCTAACTTTTATGTCAAACAATGTCTTTTTTGATTCGGCTTAGAATTTACTTTAATTTTTGTAAATTGTAACGTCGGCTACAATATTTCACTTTTTTTTGTTAATAATGCAGACCGCCATTTATAATTGATTTTTTATGAAAGTTGATCATAATATGTATACTAGGCTGTACGTTTTTTTTTATTGAATTTACTAATATTTTAGGGAACAAAAGATTTTTTTAATGACGGAAAAAATTCTTAACTTAAAAAATATTTTTTATCACTTCCTTTATTTATTATTTATACATCGTTTTTTCATATAGAATGGTGCTGGTAATACTTTTATATGACTCCAAAAAGTGTTTTATGTACTATTTTTTTTATAAAAGTAATTATATTGATGCGTACACGTTTGTTAAAAAAAAAATGGTTTCTTTTTAGCAGCTAGTGCGTTATTAATGATGCTTTGTGAAAACAGATTCTATTTTTAATTAAAAAAAAATAAGCAATTAAAAAAAATCGTTCCCATATTTGCTTTTTAAAATTAAAATCTCATTATTATTATTATTATTCAACTAGACTTATGGTTCTGGATTTCGCCTTCGTAAAAATTTTATTCATATTGAAATGTACAATTCCTTTTTAAATAAATGAAACATTCAACAGAAAGATTGATTAATTTTAAGAGCTTTTTCAGGGTATTAGGAATAATTTTGCACATCATCTCTGCTTACTTTTTAGTGACTCATTAAAGTCTTATTTATATGAAGTATCAAATTAAAAGTGCCATCTGTACCATTCTGTTTGAAAAAGATAAAATAATTATTATTCATGTATATTTCTATAAAACGTATCCATTTAAAAACAAATTTTAGTGTATTTAAATTATTATATAAAGGAATAGTCCCTTTATATATAATTATTATATACAAATTTTGACCGACTTCAATAAAAGGGGGCTAGATTCGGGTGTATAGTTTTTATTTAATTTAAACAATATCATCAGCAATTGTCAACTGATTGTCATGTTTCTTGTTTATGTCATTTAAATTACAAGAAAAAAAAACCTCGTAAAGGTAAAATATTTTAAATAAATTAGACTTTTGAAGTCGGTGTACCACTTTTAGTTGAAAAATAATTATATAAACTATGATCTTTAACAAATATAATTAACATCCTTCCAAAGCAAGTGTTAAACAGAACCTGGCGTATTTTAATCATCTTTATGATTTATTTATAACATTAATTACCAAATTTTATTAACATATAATTTAGTTTCTTTTACTATCTAAAAATGCCTTTGGTTCAGTCTAATACTGAGATACTTTAAATAAATTTTCTTTCAGCTCAAATGGTGGGTCGCGTTACCGAGTCGCTGGTCCGGCCTCAGTCAGAAATTATAATACAATGTATTATTCTTTCTGACTTCTTAATATTTTTATGATGGTTATGACAACATTGCTGAAAAACTTATATATGATTATCAAAAAAGCATTTGATTTTTCAGTTAAGCCAAAAAATGTTTATCAAAATTTTATTCAAACAGATAAATAAAATAAAATTTTAACTTAAAAGTGTATGAAAGAGAGGTTTAATTTTTATGGAATAACATAATTTTTGCCAAGTTTATTCGAGTACTTAAAAAAATTGTTAACTCATTATATCTATTTTTTATCAAATAAATCACTTGTATTATTTCGCGAGACATTATCATCAGAAAATTATCAATCTTATCTATAAAGATTTTAGTAATGCAAAATCATCATTATATGCATAAGCACATATAATAAAAAAATATCTCTTAACTCTTTTATTTGAGACCTAAAAATATTGAAAAACACAAAAATGCTAATAAAATGTTGTTCTAACCATCACGTCAAAAATCGGCTTCATCATATTTACGTGTAAAGGGAGAACTTTTGTAGTTCACTCATTACACATTTAAAAATCGCATTTGCACAAAATATGGTAATTATCATGCCATGTCCGTGGCATGTCAATTATCATTCATATTATTGCATACAAATATTCAGTTTTCCCCCTCTTTATACGACTGACCTCATTTTAAGTATTGTTTCTGCAAATGTTTTTTAGTTTTATACACTATTTATTTATATAGGCTCAAATGTACAATCTATGACATCGAGTTGACACTTCATATTTTTTTCACTAATAGATAGATCTCTCTATTTAAAAAGTTTGAGACCGCGGAAACAAATAGTTTTGTCAAAAATTTTTTTTCAAGTTTCAACTTTTTATGTAATTTTACCACAGTTATACACGCACTTATGGATGTTTTTCACAAAGTTCGTTACAATATTCTATGTTCTGAGTTATTTTCAATCATTATTGTAGTTAAATACATAATTTAATAGTTAAAATCTTGATTTATTTGTACGTAATAACAAATATAAACTGGTACCTACTTACTATGTTGGTTATGTGATATGTCAATGTCAGAATTAGGTAAATATGAAAAGCGACGCCAATTTGAAATGTCAGTTTTAGTGTCAGTTGCAATTGTTTTTTATTTCCGCGCAGGAAAGCTTTATCAAAATAGGTTTAAGTTATTTTTTGGCAGAAATCTTTCTTTCTAGGTTAGTTAGGTTAGAACAGTGATAACAACGCACGAGACGAGCGAGCGAAGCGAGCGTGCCGAAGTAGCGGCCGGCGAGTGCTAGAACGATTAGAACTTTTAGAACCTTTTTCATCATCCTTAGTCAATTTTTCCAGTACCTATTATTATACATGCAAAAGTTGTCTTAAAATTGGCACCAATTGTGTTTAGGTAATTATTCTAGTTGAAATATAAAACAATGTAAATTGAACCTTAAGTGCAATGCTTATAGTTGTTTTCACAAAAATTTAACGTCAAAAATTGAAATTTTGAAAATTAAATATCTCGAAAACTACTAGCCTCCGCGGTTTTCCCTTTTAAAGGGGAGTCCCTCTCTGCCCTCCCGTCCTCCCCAACCCTCTCTCCTCTCTTAAATAGACGTCATAGATTGTACAGTTCAACCTTTATATACTACAACAAGTAATTAATTACTTAAGAATTTCAAGTATGAATAAATATTTAACAATGAAAAAATATTATAAAACCTTATAAATTAAAGATAATTACTGTATTTTTTCTATTAAGTGTACTATAATAGTCGTCAAGATTTGTCTGCTTATAATAAAATATATGTACATATATATAAAACTTATGTGATATGTCAGTCATTATGTCACTAATCTGTAGCCTAGTGATTCTTCAGCTAAAAATATAAAAAAATAACGCTTTAAGAAAAGCTAGGCTTAAATGGGGAATTCATGAATATTTGTTGCAGCTTTTAAAAGTTAAGGAGACGCGAGCACTTCGTTAGACGCACCATCATCGACCATAGGTGCAAATAATGTTGAAAGGTAAGGAAAAATATATGGAAGGAAAGCGAAGATACAAATCTGTCTGTTTCATTATGTCAAAAATGTCATTTGTCAAATTGAAGGGGAATTTAGGAACATATGAAAAAAAATAAAGAAAGTATATGTGTGTCAACAGATAATAAAATTATTTTGTAATTGAAACTTTTTAATATAGGATCAACTTGTTCGTGCCGCGCCTGTTGAAGGCGGCATGGGGATGCAACTATTGCAGAAGATGGGTTGGACGCCGGGCCAAGGTTTGGGTAAAGAGGGCACGGGGACGTTACAGCCTCTCCTTTTAGAGGTCAAGTTAGACACGAGAGGTCTGACTTCCAAAGAAGAAGCTACTAGCAGACATGCTAAAAATGTAAATAAAACAAACCTATTGGCATGAAAAATGAGTTGCTATTTGATGTATATAGTAAATTTTGATATAACAGTAAAAGAAATGCAAAATAAAGAATTTTATTGAATTAAAATTTGCTTAGATCGAAATGTTTATTACTGGAGTATTCTACGCCAAACCGGACGGTTTCAAATAAAATATTTTTGATTTTCTTAATATTTTCGTATTTTAAAACCTCTCAAAAGAGGCTTCCTGGCAAATTTTAAATTTTTTATCACCGTTTCAAAAATATCGATTTTTCAATAAAACCTCTCTTTTTGGTTTTTTGCTCATAACTTTCTTGTTTTTGGATTACCCTTACATAAAAAATATAAAAAAAAATATATTTAAAATGTTTTAATCGAGATTTTTGAATTTTAAGTTTTCAATCGCGTTTTTAAAATTGTGTATATCCTTAGATTTTTTTGAAAATTTTTAATTTTAAACTTCTACCCATCATGCAATCCAATTTACCAGGAGGCCTCTTTTGAGGGCCTGAGGTGTACTAAAAAATACCAATATAATCAAATCAAATGTAAAAATTTTGTAACCGTCCGATTTGGCGTGAAATGCCACTAGTATAGATAATAATTAATTTAAGTATTTAAAAGAAAAAAATTTTTGCATGATTATGTAAACATTGGCTTGCAAATGATTAATATTATTTGTTTTTAGTGTTTGTATTGATACATGTGTGTTTTTAGGTAAAGCCTCAACGCTTAGGTCGCAGGGGCCCCGCGCCGCTAGTCGCCGGCGGCAAGCACCCAGTGTCACTACTGGGAGAATATTGCTCAAAACAAAAGTTAGGCCCCCCCGAATACAATCTTTGCTTTGAATGTGGGCCTGATCATAAGAAAAATTTTCTGTTCAAGGTAAATAATGTTAATAAATATTCGATTTAATAAACCCTCAAAAAAATAATTTATATTTTTAACCAAAATTACAAAGTTTGTAATTGAATTGATTAGAAGTTGTACCTATAAATTATTAGTTTTTTTTTTTAATTATGTGATCAAATAGCTACTACTCGTGGCATAGTCCACATCTATTTTTGTTTGCATTAATTTAGTCTTAAAAACCTTCTTTATACTAGAAGTTCTTATTCAAATTCAATACAAAAATACCTAGTGCTAGACCAACGATGCACACTTTTAGATTAGTAATTACACATTTGTATGATAATAATTAGATGCTGTTCGTTAGTAAGCATATAACTTGAGAATAGCTGGACCGATATGGCTGTTTTTTTTAAATGTTCTTAATGGTCTGAATAAGATTTTTGAAAAATAAAAAGAAGTTGCCCAGACAATTGGGAAGTTTCGGGATAAGCTAAATGTGCAATTTTCTATACAATTTTTATATATATATATATATATATATATATATATATATATATATATATATATATATATATATATATATGTATATATTAACTGTATAACTACCTAACTACAAAGATCGTAAATTTTATTGAAATTGAGAAAGGTCAACATCTGTGTGCTTACCATCTTTGTAGTATAGTAGGTTTTCAGAAGCGATTAATATTTAATTAATTTGATTTTTTTTTCAGGTAAAAGTGGCAGGCGTAGAATACCAACCGGCAGTTGCCAGTGCTAATAAAAAACAAGCCAAGGCCGATGCTGCACAACTAGCTCTGCAAAAGCTGGGCATTTTAACACAATGAGAAATCATTTTACATTTGTACAGTAAAATTTGTTTTATATATGCGTGTTTTATTTCTAATAATTTCGATATATTAATGCACAGTATAAAAATAAATATAAGAACTCTTTCTTTTTATACCAAATGTTAAAAATGTATGCAACATATAAAGGTTGCAAACATTATAACGTTTTTAAAAATAACAAAAGAAAATAAATTTTATTTACTAACCTTGTGTATAGCGTAATACGTACATTAGTATAACCTAATTTCCTTTGCCTATGGTCTATGCACACCACATCTTATGGATCGTCCATTAATCACGTGAGGCTCGAAAAGGGGGTAGGGGGTTCGGAAAAAATCACGAAACATCACAAGGAGGAGGGAGGGTTCTCGCAAAAGTATGGAATATGGTTATCGACGACCATGACGTCGTAGCAGAGTATGTCGAGCCCGATGACAGTGCATCCAGACCTGCCTTCTCCGCAGTGGTATAGCGAACATATGTGAGAGAACTAGTATTTGCTTCAAGTACTGAGACCTTAATGTCTGTCTGGACATTTTTATATAGAATTTAATTATATCGGTAATTAAAGTAATAATCTGATTTTTTTAAATACTTTGTACCAAACTAACCCAGGGGCGAGTGGGGAGTTAAAAAGTTGCCAAAAACATCACGTGATTAATGGACGACCTCATGGCTCATATAGATGTGCCGTTCGTCCGCACTTATATGCGTGATGATGTAAATTACTTGCGTCATTGCGTCACAGGAACGAAGAAAAATTGGCTTAAATAGATGGTATTATATATATCGATTTCTTACTGATAGATCCCGATCTATGTGGTGGAAATGTGTTTACCACACATTTTTTTTAAACCATAAAACATTAACAAACACGACCAAGGGGAATTCTCATCAAAAATTTGCTCCAGGCTGTTTTTTACAAAAAAATCTCTAGTCTAAAGATGTTTTCTAAGCATGGGATCTTTCAAAGCCCAATGTTTAAAAAAAACAGTGACATCATCTACTTTAGTAGCAGCATCACATTTCCCAATAATAAAATAATAAGTTAAGCATACTTTTTATTTATGAAATCATATGTTTTCGCTAAATAAAAAAATAAATTAAAATTATAGGGCACTACCTCTACTAAATAAAGTGTCATCATTCATAAGTACATAAACAATGACCTCATCAACTTATATTGTTAATAATAAAGTACATGAACTGATAAAAGACATATACAGAATAAATAAAACCAGTGATATTGTTGATATAATTTATTTATTTAACTTAACAATGGATAAATGACTAACAGTGAGGGGATTCTAACTATTGAATAAAGATGAAATATAGAATATACTACAACTTTTAAATATTTTGTCATATTTGGACATTTTAAAACTACAATAATGTTGACTATATCGCTATGTTTGTTTCATTTCGACCCCCACTAATCTTTGCAATCACAGATCTGTTCCAACTTTACAAATATAGCATTTTTATTTCTTATCGGCTTCCTGCTGTTTGATTCTATAGTCAGACAATGCTGCTTTAATGGCATCTTCTGCAAGCACTGAAAAATATAATAAATTAGCAAACACTACCATTATAAATTTACTATTTATATTTTAATATTTACTCTTACAATGAATCAATATGAAAATATTTCTTTAAATACTTACTAGAACAATGAAGCTTTACAGGAGGTAATGAGAGTTCTTTAGCAATATCAGTATTTTTTAATTTCAATGCCTCATCAACTGATTTGCCCTTTACCCATTCTGTAGCTAATGAACTTGAAGCTATTGCAGATCCACATCCAAAAGTTTTAAATTTAGCATCAATAATTTTTCCATTGTCGTCAACTTTGATTTGCAATTTCATCACATCTCCGCAAGCTGGGGCTCCAACTAAACCTGTTCCGACGTTCTTATCTTTTTTGTCAAGAGACCCAACATTACGGGGGTTTTCGTAATGATCTATAACCTATTAACAAATGTCCATGAATTAATTTCCTTTTCAAATATCACGGAACCTACCAAAAAATCGATAAACCTTGACATTGTACATGAAAATAAACATACATTAGCATGATAAGACGCAGTTTGAATCACATTGAGACCGGCACGATTTCTTAAGCATAGGCATTTACATATGTTGCCAAATAAATAAGCCATAATTCGAAACTTCCGAAGAATCAAATAACCAAATAGAACTCCAAGTACAACCTCGATATTACTTTATTCCAAAGTCACTATGTGCGCAATACAATAAAATCTCAGACTAGATACGACTACGACGTAAGTTTCTATAGTTCGTTAGTCGATACTCGATACGTACTTAATGTCATGGATGTGACAAATAAAACTTAATGTAATGAATACAGATAGTGATGCGCAACTATGAATAATTCCAGTCGAATTATTCGATTATATAAATCATTCAATTCATTCGAACAAATTACGAAATTTAGTAACTACCTCGATACCTGCTAGTTGCTACACTAAACATTTAGTCACTAAGTAATAGTTGTAGTGATGACTGATATATTAGTTTGCCCTAATAGATTAATATTATTGAAGGATCCGTGAAATGTGAATTAGTCTGAGAAACTAATTCTTCAATATTAGTGATATTTATCTCAGGTGTATCACTCAATATAAATAAGTTGGTGGTATCCATCTCGTTCGCAGTAAGTGCCTATTTGTGTAAGTAAAATGAAACTGATGCGTAAATACAATAAGATCGCAGTAGCAAGTAATAAGATCATTTTTTGCTTGAACTTCCCTTGACAAATCCGAGAATCCTAACTGACAATGAATCCGAACGATATTATCCGACTTACTTTGAATGGATTATGTGAATTATGTGAATATGAAATATTAGCCAGAGTTCGTCAGATTACTAATTCACATTTCACAGATCCTTGAATATTACTAATCTCTTAGCGCATACTAATATATCAGTCACACCCCTACAACTAATACTTAGCGTCTAGCAACCAAGTGTTTAGTGTAGCAACTACCAGGTATCAAGTTAGTTACTAAACTTCGTAATTCGTTCGATGAATCGAATGATTTATAAAATCAAATAGTTCGACTGAAATCATTCATAATCGCGCATCACTATCTCTAAATACAGATAACATTTTATAATAACAAATGAAATCGAACTGTCAAATACCATAATATTTTGATAATAAATTATAGCAAGCTGCCAACCTTTAAATATAATAATCCTGGACATGCAATGCTCGATTTATACATTCTTTACTAGTTATATATTTAGAGAAATAAACAGACAATATTGCATAAAAATTTCGTACAATATAAATCTTTAATACAATAGATTATTTTTTAAATAATTTAAACTAAGCCTTATTTAAAGCAACATTTTCGTCAATAACAACCCCCATGAATGCATATCAGAAAATATAATCATTAAAATTCTAATCAATAACATGACAATCGGATTTAGAACGATTTCAGGGCTTGTTGTGCCCGCCGTTAGTAATTTATTTTGTTTAGCTCGAGTGCAACTTAGTACGGTGTAAGTAATATTTATATTTTAATAAAGAAACTTTCTTGTTATAATTATTTCTATTACATAACTGGCCGGCTGGTTTGTCAGTTAATTTACAATGAGATAGCGCGATGATAAAATAGTAATATTAAATATAATAATTATTAAAGCTATTTGTTTTTTATCAGATAGGATTTGATGGTAAAAGAAATATTTTATTCCAGAAATATGGCTGAAAATAATCCTGACTATAAAAGTGCTACAAGTATCCATGAGTTTACTGTAAAAAATATAAAAGGAGAAGAAGTCAAACTTGATGTATACAAAGGTCATGTTTGTATCATTGTAAATGTTGCGTCTCAGTGTGGTCTGACAGCAAACAACTACAAGCAACTAAATGAACTATATGATCAATATGCTGAGAGTAAAGGTACAACTTTGTAGTGATCTGATTTACCATGAGCTTTAAAATCATGTTGAATATCATAAAATGTGATACATAATATAGACATTGAACTGTTTTAATTTATATTATTTATAGGTTTGCGTATCTTGGCATTCCCTTGTAATCAGTTTGCGGGACAAGAACCAGGAAATTCCGAAGATATTGTCTGTTTCATGGGTGAACGCAAAGTAAAATTTGATATGTTTGAAAAGATTGATGTTAATGGAGATTCTGCACATCCACTGTGGAAGTTTTTGAAGGTCTTTATAATTTTTTTTTCTATTTATTAGATTTAATAAAGTCTAATCTGATATAAATTTTAATTATGCAAGCTTAGATTTATTTAAATACATATGTAGTTATCTGAGTCACAGAATTGTATTATTAATGTACTCGTATCATGCTACACAAGTAAGAGTTTTCATTATTTAAACATGAAAATAACAATATAATGAGCAGTTGATTTATTGATGGTCTATAAAATCTTACATGCTATAATATAGTAAATTTAAAGCTACCAAAATATGACATCTTCAACACAAGATAAGAATGGTTTTGTAAATATTGCTTTTAAATTGATAGGAGTTTTTCCTAATTCTTATTATGGGTATCATAATGTGAAGATCTGGAATATGACTATGGTTCTGTTTTTGTTAATCACATACAGGAGTGAAATTTCATCATCACTATAATAGTCAATATAATAGGCACTACCAACTGTTCTACTACATTAAATATGCATTTGATATTAATTGTCTCGTACATTTGATTGATTTTTATAAGTTATAACCTTGTGGGTGTTTTTACTACATGAAACTATGGTGACATTATCTAGGTATAATGTAAATTAGATGTGTAATATGAAATTTGACCTTCATTTACTATACACCAATAAAGTTGTATTTAATATGTTCCTTCTCTTTTAAGTTCAGTATGTTTTAACCGAATTTATTTAGAAGTAAATGTATACATACATTTGCAACGAAGACATATAGAACTAATTGTCAATAATTATCTATTGACGTCTACAATATTATACATTCTTGAAAATTGAAATTGAAATGAATAATTGAAGTAGTGCTGTACAAAATTAGATAAAGCTTAAAAAAGTTACATTTAAGTAAAAATCTTTATAATAAAATAAACTTATTAGATTACTTTTCAATCGTAAACTATAGATTAATATTCTATCAAACAAAATTATCTACTTGTTGTCAAGCTTCGAGGTCAGGAACAGTGTTTGCTTTATTGATTATTCAACTGTATTATAACGTCTACAACCTTTTGAATTGCATTGCTGTAAAATATTTTCCTAAACAATTTATTAGTTTCTTACCAAGCCAATTTTAAATAGCAAATATTGTAATCGTAATATTTTTTCTCTAAAGGAAACAAGTAGAACCTGCGTCTTATTGCCCAAAAACTGGGCAAGTTGGATAATTCAATAAATCCTTATTTTGCTGTTTTATGTTTGTATCGTTTTTTCAATATTAAATAACTGGCCATTTTCTTTTTTAGAACAAGCAAGGAGGAACATTGGGAAACTTCATTAAATGGAATTTTACAAAGTTCATTATTGATAAAAATGGCATTCCCGTCGAAAGACATGGTCCTAAAACTGATCCTTTGGACTTGGTCAAATCTCTTGAAAAATATTGGTAAATCACAAAATTTAAAGACACTACTTTTATGGGATATGGGAATAAAAAATTCTATATAACTTAAAAACAAATTGCATTTTTAGTAACTTGTAATTAAATATGTAACACGCATGTCATTGTTGTGATTGTTTATATATTATGCACGACACTAGTAGATATAAGATAATTGTGTTTTCTCAAAAAATATATTTTTATTATCTTAAATTGTGTACTTATTGACTATTTAAAACCTAAGCAGATAATAACATTATGATTTGGCTTAAAAAATCCCTACGTCCATCAGTCCTATTAGTCCAACATACAGCTAATATTAGTCCAAATCAAATTGATTTTTATCTCTTTCCAAAATAAAATTTTAAATTTTCCATTACGAATTACGATTCGGCCTTCAACCTTTGCGTAGAACTAACAACAAACAACATGAACAAACGAAATACGAATATCAATGAACATGTTGGGAACAATAAAATTACGTTAGTGGCTATGGGGTTCGAGTCCAGAGTAGCGTAAATGTCTATTTGAGATAATATACAGCATTAAATACTACATTTTATATAAGGAACGAACATCGTTAGATTTTTATTATGAGCAATATTACTGTTCTATTAAACATTAAAAATATTTAAAATAACATTTTTGTTTTGCTTGGTTTTTGTAATAGAGCGACTTGGCAGCTGTATGTGTTTTAAGCCTAAATATCAAAGTGGCCAATATACACATACATAATATTTGCTATCCTGTTTTTTCATTTATCAATGAAGAGTACAGAAGATACAAATTTCCGTGTCCGTTACAGATAGCGCCAACTGATTTCGTCCAATCGTAGGCCTTTTTTTTTAAATCTATTCTGGCGTCGCTCGGCGTAGCGTAGCTTGATGAGTCTAGTGAAAATGAGTTGTTTATGTTGAAATTCGAATACTTAAATATTGTTAATTTTCTACAACTATTGTGAGTGAAGTGCATTTTTAAAATATATTTCTTATAAATTACAATTCAGATATTCTTCTTTTTGTTGCGTGTAAATTCATAGCGTGTGGTAATGTGATAATTTTAGCAATTAATACCGAAACTTGTCTAACGGGTTTCTATTCAATTTCAAAATTATGTCTACAAGAAGCGGCCGAATAAGGCAAAGCCTAATAGAAACGAGTCCTCCACGCACTCGTAAAGGAGTATCACCGAACCGATCTCCCGCCAGAAACCGAAAAAGTTCACCCAACACACGATCGACACCGAAATCTCCCTCCCGCAAATCACCTAGTCGAAAGTCTACATCAAAATATCCCGCACGAAAATCCCCTTCAAGAGCTGTCAAAGAAGCTAAAGAGGAAAAAGAAACTTCTGTCCCTAAATCACCTGTGAAGCGACCAACTATTAAAAAGGATGCTGAAATAAGACTAGTTGATGTGTCTTCAAAAATAGAAGTTATGCGTAGCACTCGATCTCAGCGTTTTGATTATTCTATTAAGGACCTTCCTTCTATATCAAAACCAGAATTAGACGACAAAAAAATTAACGGTCTTGATACCGTTCACTCAATTTCTGATATATATGGTCTAAGAAATAGAAAAACTATTGAAGATAGTGTTCCACGAAGATCTAGTCGATTGAGGGATGTCGTTGATAGTTTTCCAGACATTAGAAGGAGCTTCAGTAAATCACTGAGCAAATCTATAAGTAAATCAATTAGCAAGTCCATTGATACATATTCAGATGAAGAAAATTCAGAAGCATCAATACTAAAAGAGAAATCACAGTCTGTAACAAGAAAGCTGTCCACTCCTTTGCCAAACAGTTTATCACTTTCTCATTTAAGCAATCGATATGAGTTTGGAGGAAAGATAGGCTCAACAATTTTATATATTTTGATACCTTTGGCTGTATTTTCATTATTGATAACATGTGCAAAAACTTGCTCACATAAATCTCTCTTAGAACTATCTTTGTACAAATCTATATCACAATGGTTCAGTATGACAGCAACATTTGTTGTTATCAGCCACTTTGTTTTACAAGCAATATTTTTATCTCTGCCAATATTTGGATCCAAAGAAGTTGATGGTGAAGGAAAAAAGTACTACTTCAATGGACTTTTCTCAAGTTTTTGCACTATAAATCTACTATTTGCATTGGATTACTACAAGATTTTTAATATTGATTCACTCTTAACTTTATATTTGCCAATGGCGACAATATCATATTTAGTTGCAGTTCTTTTTGCAATTTTTATTTTTCTGAAAAGTTCGAGAACGTCTAAAGATTTCTTAAATCCTTATGCTAATTCAGGATATATATTGTATGACTTATTTATGGGTCGACAGATACATGACTCTGTCATGAAGATAAATGTTAAATTATATTTAGCCAGAGTGGTTAATATAAGCACAGTGAGTATAAATATATCATTATGTGTTAATGTTTAAATTTTATATTCCATAAATAGTCCCATTTCTTATCAACATCTGTATGAATATTTTATGCTAAGTAGTACTAATGCTTATTTTCTAATACTATTATATTCTTTCAGCTAATATTTGCAATATTAATTTTCAAACATGGCTTATATATTGAAAAGATGGAAATTGATAACATATCATGGAATAATTTAACTACAATTTTGAATAAAGTACAATACAAACACAATGTTTTGATATACTCAATGATGCAAATTATTTATGCTCTGTATTTTATAACAAGAGAGAAAAAAATCATATCAACATTTTATTGGCAGTCGGAAGGCCTAGGGTATCTACAAATTGTGTCGAGTGCTTTATACCCTTTATATTTTACAACAATATCTAAATATGTAATGGATGCAGATATTAAACTATCAACTAATGTATTAATTGTAGCTTCTGTGACGTACTCACTGGGTTTTATAATAATGCTTATCAGTAACAATATTAAATATGAATTCAGGAAAAATCCACTACAGCCTAGTCTAATGCGTAAGTAAATAAATGCTTCTCTATTGTTTCCTTGTTATGTATTTTTACTAGTTGTTTATAGCTGGTATTTAGCTGGTATTTACATATATGAATGATTTCTAAAATAATCTTAAATAATCTATTCCATTTTGATTCTAATAACTAGTGACACCCTATGCTCGGATATATCCCAAGGTATGTTTTTTTTTTTGAGCAGAACGCTAATTCTTTTTAAAAATATAAGAAGTCTAAGTTACTCCTTATAACATCAGCTATCTGCCAGTGAAAATCCCATCAAAATTAGTCCAGCCATTTTGCAGATTAGCAGACAAAATGTTTAAAAATTGTGTTTTCCTTATTAGATGCCTTATATAATTTCATGTGCATTTAGTAATTAGTAAAAAAACTGTTATTTTGACATTACAAACAGATACTACAATTTTATTTATCTGTATAGATAAAATGGAATTTATTTATTTAAATTTATATTTAATTATTTTTTACAGACTTAGACTCAATGCCTACATTTCATGGGAAGAAACTTCTTGTGTCCAACCTTTGGGGTGTTTTACGTCATCCAAATTATACAGGGGATATATTGATTCATATTGCACTAGCGCTACCAGGGATTATGACAAAGCAGGTGGCAGCGGCAAGTCCAGCTCTACTAACAATTTTGATACTTGTACACCGCGCATGGCGGGATCATAATAGATGTCGTCGACGTTATGGAGCTGCATGGCAAAGGTATTGCAAGAAAGTGCCGTCTGTCATCATACCAAAAATATTATAATTTTACATGAAGATTAGAAAGGATTTTACATGAAGATAAAAATCGGCAACCTGGTAAAAAATTGACGTTTTTACCTGAATCTTTTTATAGTTTAAAAAAACACCAGTTGTTATAAAATACTAGTTTCTAGTACAAAGAAACCAGTTTTTTTTTCACTAGAAGTGATGTTTGATTAATTGAATTTAAAGTAACTTATTAGTATATTCTTCTTCTGATTTTATAATCAAGCTACATTTGATGCACATTCAATTGTTTACCAGGTGTTTAATTAACTTATCAGCTGCCATTTTGATACAATCAAGGACCAAATGCACTTGTTTTTCAGGCAGTATTTATTTTAGTAACATATATAGTTTTAAAAGAGATAAATAGATCTTATACAATATGTAATAAATTTTATTTTATAATTTTTATGATATTTTATACACTATTGACATAATTGACTTTTTAAGTTGTGAATTAATTTTAAAAAGTTTGCATGTTTTTTTAATCAAAATAGCTTAGTGCCATTGCCATAATTATTACCACCGGATAAATTAAATTTAGCTCTAATTTTATATATTTACAATAAAAACTAATTTTTAAAGTTTTATAATATGCAATAGATATTTTTAGGCACATTTTCATATTTAATCATAAATTGTTAGAATTAATTATTAAATGAATGCTATTATTACTGCAACTTTTTATTTATAAAATCAACACAAATATTGAGGACAATTTAAATTAAATTAGGTTTTATGTAATACTAGCAAATATTTAGAGTGTAGTATAGATCTACTATGGAGAAGATGAGAAAATAATGTGCCTCAAAAATTATATTTTTATATTTTTGATAGAATGTAATGGGCAAAAGCTCAATATTTTTACATATCTTTCATATTGTTTGTGTCATAAACAATAATTAAATTGTCGTAATATAAGCAACGTGTCGAAATATTGTTTGAAAATATTATTTTGTACAATTGATTTGTTTTATTTATTAGTAATTTACCTACTTTGTTTTACTTAAATTTTATTTCTCGCCGGATCTTCTCAGCAGTAATGCCTTCGAGCCGATGGTAGCTTCCTCTCGGACCAACAGTGACTATCTTTAATTAACTGACGATTAAGTCTAAGTCAATAAAGTTAATTTTTAGTTACATTATGTCTGACCGTAAAAGTTCAAGAACAAAGCCATTTTTGTATGTATGTGTATATACATATTGAAACGACGGATGGGTTTTGATGAAATTTTAATATACAGATTATATTATCACTAGGTTACGTTTGCACTGCACGATTTTTTTAAGGTTTAAAATATTGCTGAATGCGACCAAGTGTAAAAAGTCGATTGTAACTTTTACGTGTATTATTAATAATTATTGACATGCTTAATGAAATTTTATATTTAAGCCAAAGACAGTTAATATAATTAATTAGTTAATAATGACCTTAAGGTCATTCACATTGGCCGTATCCTCCTGATTTTCCTGTTAGCTATTGAGAATGGATTTTCCCACGGTACCTACTTTTAATGACAGTTAATATAATTTATTAAGAGTATCTCAGAAGTAGGTCAGGTAGGCCAAGTAAAATTCAGTGTAACAGCACAGTTTTTATTATTTTATACAGAGTCAAAGTAACGCCTTAAACGACATTACAAATCACTTAATTTAAAAGTCATGAAACGAAATACATCAATATGACAATGTCAGAAAACTTAAAGAAGTATTTTATATCAGATTCAATAATGACCTTAAGGTCATTAACATTGGCCGTATCCTCCTGTTTTTCGTGTTAGCTATTGAGAATGGATTTTCCCACGGTACCTACTTTTAATGTTAGGTGTAAATACTAAATAATAGTAATAGTGAAATTTTGAAGCTAGAAGAGCAAGTTGAATTAATAACGATTTTTGAAATTTCGAAGGATTATGTACATTTTAATTTGTCCTTTACATTTTTTTTACTAGTTTTTGCACGATGCTTCGCTCGAGTGATATGTGGGGCGGGGATCAACTATCAATAGTGTACCCTGCCAGTTTCAGGATGGAATCGATGTCGGGAAAAGCGGACAGAGTTAACTTAACATTTATAATATTAGTATTTATTAGTGTTTACCTATAACCCCAGCCGTGTAGTTTAATTATTAGGTAGATAATATGTATTATTGCTTTGCTTCAACAAAACAAATCGTCACTTAACTATAACAACTCTTGAAAATAAACAACGCCATCTGTGAATATGAACTAAAAGCATTTTTCTTCAGTCAGTTCAGTAAAATTATGCAAATGAAATTTACGAGGCCATTATATCGTTTTCCTTTGCTAAGAGTGTTATTGAAACCATAATATACCTTTTTCTGGTTTATTTTTATCTTTGTTAATTTTACACAATAATAACTAGTCGGTTTACGTAATAATATATATTGACATTCAAATAAACTAATTTTTTGTTCTTGATGGCACCTTATGTCCGGTTTTATATTAGGTAAATTTTGTCACGAAAGTTGAAACGTTTCGTCCCGGCAAGGAGTTTATATTTTTTCTTATGAGGAAACTCTTACATTGATTTTGATATACATTATATTAATATTTAAGTCAAGTAATTAAGTATTTGTTGTATCTTTCATCGCTGAAATTGAAAGGTTTTCTCCGTGAATAAAGAAAAATATCTATACTATTTTATTATATACTAGCGACACCCTCGCTTTGCTCGAGTTCGTCCCTAGGTTGATTCCCCGCACAAACTTTTATCCCCATTTTCACCCTCTTAAGGGATAATTTCCGGGATGAAAAGTATCCTGTGTTCTTCCCAAGTCCTCAAACTATCCTCTTACCAAATTTCATCTAAATCGATTCAGTAGATCCAGAGATTACCCCTTACAACGTCACAAACTCACAAACTTTACTTCTTATAATATTAGTAGGTATAGATAAAATCTAACTGAGTCGAATCTGTAAATTAAATAAGTATTTTTTGGAAGATCTTATTGAATATATTATCGATAGAGGCCGAATCTATATTTTTATAATTTTTATCTGTCAGTTTTTGTATTTTTTCTCAGAAATGACACATTTTCCCGCGGTAAAAATTATCCTATATGTTGACCCGGGTAACTAGCTATCACCATACCAAATGTCATCAAAATCCCTCCAATGTTTTTTCTGTGATGTGGTAACAGAAAAAATATGTACAGATTCGGCTTAGTATAGAATTTTATTATATGTATAGATAAGTTTATTGCAATATTATTTAGGCACTTATTTTTATATGTAAACGAGGTCTCTTGTTTTGTATGCAGTATAAACGGGCTTTTCTGTCTGTCTAAATGAATATAATATTATTATTACAGTAGAACTTAAGAATCTCAACTGTCCTTTCAAAAAGTCGGATGCGGCTCGCCGTTTCTAGTGTAGGTAATAAAAATATGTATTTTTTTAATTTTGTTTATTTTCTATAAAATACACATACAATTTGTAAATAAACAATTCAATATTCAAATACATATCTAATTACATATAATTTTCGTTTCTAACACAGTAATCATCCATTTTGACATTTATGATAGTACTCTGGACACTTAGTTATTAATACGAATTACAATGCGAAAAAATCTTTGGCAGCGATAATGAAATTAGTTTTAAATCTTACATTTGTAGATGTATTTTTTAAATACACATTCGTAATTCATTTCAACTTTGTATTTTGCATTTTATTATTAATTTAAATTTTGAGAAAATGTATTTAATAAATGCATCAATTATTGAATTATTATTTTCTTAAAAAGCGACAGAAAATATCCAACGATGTCACTTTACTGATATCATGATATGTAATTCATGTAGCATATAATATCTATTTCTGTGTTGCCGCCTAACTATATGTTATCGCATGCAAAGGTAACAGCGACTACTAAAAAACTAACACCAAGTACCTGTTCGTGTGGTCTAGTAATTACATGGACTCATCAATTTAACATCAATTATTATCATAAATTTAGTTCTAGTAGGCCATAAGTGCCACTTTAAGAATGATAATCTACACACAGCAATTTCTGAATTATACAACGGTTGAACACGTAAGAATATTTAAATTTAGTATCTAGTATATATAATAATTCTGGTTGCTATAATTAATAGGTTTTTAAAATATGAATTTTTATAATACATGGGATATAATACAATAAACTGTTATATTTTTAGGTGTAAAGTGATAACTAAAATATTAAGAAATTTTCGTTTTATACGGTTTTATTTATATTACATTAGATATTTTTGTTTTACATTCATCACATTTATTATTTAAAGGTTTGGCACGAAATAGTTCATTTACATGAAAATAAAGGTAAACTTGCCAGTTATATATGCCTTTTGGTAACGAACTGAAAATGTAGTTCCTTGCCTTTTGCTGTTTTGCAGGCAAACATGAAGATTCGCTTCAGTGAAATCGCTTTTTGATAGGTACATCAAATAACGTAAAACGTAATAAATATTTGACTTTTTTGTTTTTTAATTATTAAGTACCTAGGTATCTATTTGATTTTTGAAATAAGATCATATATAAATTACCTACCTATTTTTTTCGACCTTGTCGGTGAATAGGTACTTATAGTTTGAGACTTATGAGTTGAGAATAAATTATTTTAATAAATACTTCAACGTGATGTAGTAAAATTAAAAATGTTTAAGAATATTTTAGGTATAATCTGTGGCTTAAAATTATAATAATAGGTTTAGGTTTAAACTCAACAATTTTACTAATCAGGAAGACACATAAATATAATATCTAACTATGTAAGCTCGACCAATAATTTGTAACACAACATTGTAATGAACGTAGCAGTAGTGGCTCTACTATTTTCGGTACCTACTGTATAAGTATGGAATATTTATTAAAAAATATTATTTTAACAATTTTCGTGATGTCAATGAGTATTAATGTTATTTATATATATTATTGTTATTTATTAGAGAATATTTATTAAGCCATCTAGTTATTGGTTCCGTTTAACGTTCACTATGAAAATATACATTTAATAATATTTATTCGTATATATACATTTATATACATCTCTGATGATAATGTATTAGAAAATATTATTTATTACAAATATATTTTTTGTTAAAGATGAAAGAGGACAAATGGGAATTTTGTTTTTATTATGTATACAAATTACAATACATATTTCTGAATGCAAGGAACCCCGTGAAGGGAGTTTGGTGCTATTTTTGTAAGTTACAAAAATAGAGGAGAAACCGCATCGATCGCTGTTTGCATTTCATTTAATTGTGGGAATTATTATTGTATCAATTTTATCGACTTTTTAATAGTTATTCTGACTTTTAATAGTTTAATTTCTTTTGTACTTATTTAACATCTTTTTTTATTGTCTTTTTTAAAATAAAAATTAATCGGGTCTAGTATTTAAGTTACATAGGAAACGTTAAAGTACTGGCAGTGTTGTTTAGTTTTATTTTATAATAGTCGATATTTATTGTTTTTAATTTTTTTTTATTATTTATAATTTCAATAGGATTCGTTTAAGCTGTCTATTTGATGAATTTTGTATCTCAATAAAAACTTTCAAATAAGAAATTTTTATAGAACAAAATACGTTATTATTTATAGGTATCTTCTGAAAATGTATACATGAAAAACCTATAGGATGAATATATCCGTAGACCGTAGGATACTTATTTGACAAAAGACGATAACGTCTTAAATAAAAATTGTATTATTCATGTTAACAATGGATGATTTAATCTAAATATTCTATTAAAAATGGCCGGAATAATTAAAAAGAAGATTAAAGGGTGAACAGTGTCTACTTCTAGATCGAGCTTTACTGCTTAAGTAGTATCATCAGAGAAAAGAAGAATAGAAGAGGTTTTATTTAAAATAGTGTAGGGTTTACACTTTCATAATATCTATCTACACAATTTTATACGTACATATCTACGAATTACACAGCCATTGACTTGGTTGATGGCATTCCTACACATTCACTGGACACTTAAATTTAGAGGTGGATGATCATGAATTATGAAATTTCTAAACTTCAATATGGTCCATATTTCTTTTTTGATAAGATATCTTTACGAAAACTAATAAATGTAATAGGCTATGTAGTTGCCTGCATCAGAAATTTCAATTTTTAAGTTATAATACTTTCTTAGATTTACGCGAATATTTGACATTTTAAATAAAACTATCTTTTCGGATTATTTGGCGGATTTATTTTGATTTTTGCTTCCTGACGTTTCGAATGCTTTACAGCAATCATGATCACGGGAGAGACTAAGGTTATAGACGTCTCAAACAACAACTGTCTGTAACAAGTATGTGTTTGAGACGTCTAACCTTAGTCTCTCCAATCTCCCGTGACCATGAATGCTGTAAAGCATTCGAAACGTCAGGAACCAAAAATCGAAATAAATCCGCGAAATAATCCAAAAAGATAGTTTTATTCAAAAAATTTAAATTTTTCGTAATCGTCCACCTGTTAATTAATTTTATTGCAATTCAATTTAAATATTACATACGATACTGCCCATTAGTATTTTGCCGCGTAAACGAGCCTTTAAAGTATTTAATTATGTAAGTTTAGTTTTTGTTATTTTCACGTTTTTATTTTTACATATTTTTATAAATACATAGTACATCTATAGGAATATATAATGGAGAAGATATTTTTTGTTACTACGAATATAGAAATTTTAAGGAATAAACTTTTTCAGCTCGAAGTTTCAAAATCTATAAGGCTAATTTTTAAAAATACTTGTTCATTGTTTCCCATGAGCTACGCAAGTCATAAATATTAGAATTCGTTTATTGGCCGAAGATAAAGATTTTAATAGATATTTATATTTTATGTTTAGGTAATTACGACTATCTGTAATCAATATTCACGTGACCCGAAACTTTGTTCACACTTTTGAAATATTAGAAGATTTATATTTTATTATATCATAGATAGGATTTTTTAAGATGTCTTTATTTAATAATATTTGAGAAGTTTTTTTCATATAGATTAATCTGAATTCTGAACTAAAATGGCGGTGGTGCCTTATCTACTGGTATAGACCTCATTAACTAGTAAGTTAACTAGAAACTTTTATCTAAAGACACCTCTACTTAGAGAAAGATTCCCCCAAAATTTTCGGTTCTATAAAATAGCTTTTCAATGATAATTTCTTATTAATTTTGAGAGAAATTTATGTGGCATATACGATTAGGTACATATTGTAATAATAGTAGGGAAATCGAAAACCGAAAAGGCAAAAACAGACTGCAAATATGTAACATAGGTACCTACAGTCTTTCTCACGAAGGTTTTGAGTCTTATGTTCGAGCTTGAAAATTTACCCAGTCACAGTCAAGAAACAGTCACAAGTAAGAATTTATGATTAGAGTTGGTACCTATGTAGTAGGAAAAGAAAAGGAGCCATTCGAAGAACGGTCTATCGACCGTGTGAGTAAACATAATAATATAACTAAAAATAGCATAAAAAGCGCAGTGGATATTAAATTTATAGATATAAATAAATAAGAGACCACCGCCATTTTGAATCAACTTTTTTTTCGCGTAATTTTATACAGCACGGCGGCGGCGAGCGCGCGCGGGTGCAGTGCGTCAGAAGTTGCTGTCAAACACGCCCATCGAGCGTATGATCTCCTCGTCGCGGAGGCAACAGTCGAGAAACTCGTCTATAGTCAACACACCATCTCGATTTACATCCATCTTCTGAAAACAAATTGCATTTCGATAAATAAAATTGCAAATAGGGCCTGAGCGCATCACAATTTATAAATGCTGTCGACAAACGAATTAAGAAGGCCTGTGCATATTAAGGCCGATAAATGAAAAATAATAATAGACAGTAATGGGGATTGCCGACAGAAGTGAAAAGTTATAACTTTGGAATAAATGTGGTTTTTTTTAAATTCATAGTATGAATGATTAAAATTTCATAACTTTTAAATTGAAATTATTATTAGTTTGGTGTTCACATCCATTGAGTACTCCCAGCAATAATTATTTTCTTTTTAATATTTTGATATAGTTTATTTATTAATCAAAACATATGATGCTGCACGTCGCCAGTCTGCGCCAGACTGCGTGGGCCGTGGACACATCACACCTCACGGCTCACATGCAACATGTAAGTGACGCGAACCCGTAAGTTTTGCCCCAACCAAAAATCGCTCAACGCGGCTTACAAAGTTTTTACTTCAAAAATGTACATTACTTGCGTTCATAACGAAAAAAAAAACGCGTGGAACAGTCATCGTATACATAGGCCCTTAGTTTTAGACAGTTTTTCACTTGTAGACAACGCTTTACGCTGCGAAGTATCTAAATAATAAAATGCTTTAAACTGATTATATCGTATAATAAAGTTATCACTAAAAGATAAAATAAAGTAAGTATTTAAATTGCACTGAAGAAATAAAAGGATCTGAATGTCATCACATATATCACTATATACCTAATTTACATAAGTTAATATATATCGATGTCTCAATAAACAATAGCTCACCTGAAATAGCCTTTCTACCTTCTCCCTCACAGCTTCATCGTCTACCGTGGGTTCGACTATTTTGCCCATTAAGTCATATATCGCAGTTACTATTTCCGTCATTTCGTCTTTAGTTATATAGCCATCGCCATTTATGTCGTATAGAGAGAATGTCCACCGCAACTTTTCTTCTAATGTTCCTCTCGAAAGTATGGACAAGCCAGTCACGAATTCCTAAAAAAATCATTACAAATAATTCGAAGCGGTTTTTTTATTCGAGAAATGGATTATTATCGCTTCGTTATAAAACTTCATTTTCGTTGTTTTTATTAAATGATGAATAAATAATAAGATCAATCAATTGGGTAAAAAAATCGAACTAAAAAGATGAGTCATACATAGATACGGAGACACATGGTTTATACTAGCTGCGAGTCTTGCTACGTGTATGTTCATTTGTATGTCTCCGACTTGGTGACAGCTAACTGCCTCGGTGGTGTAGTGGCTAGCGTGTACGGCTGCACACCCTGAGGTCCTGGGTTCGAGTCCCGGGTCGGGCCAAGTTTAGCTATTGAGTCTTTCTGTATAGTAAGCCTCAGTGACAGCCCGGAGTTGGGAAGTTGGCGGTGTTTCACCCCCGTGCCTCGGAGAGCACGTAAAGCCGTCGGTCCTGCGCCTTAACTCTCACTGGTCGTGTCGAGCAGTCGTCCCAACGGAGTATGAGAATGACAGGAATAGAGAGTGCACCTGTGCCTGCGCGTACACTTGTGCACTATAATATCTCCTGCGCAGTTGGCTAGTCTCGATGAGATTGGCCGCCGTGGCCGGAATCGGTCAGGAGAACATCATGTCTCCGACTGCATAATATTATTGTTTTTTGTTCCTTCGTTAACTTGTTCTCATCTTTTTAGTTCGCTTTTCATGTTCACGCAGAGGGGTTTAAAGTTTAAACATTTATAATTGATATTTTATTAACAGCTTTTTAGTGTTGGCCAATTAAATACTTATTTGAAGTTATATTTAGCAATTTCTTATCCTAAATTACTTTTAAACAAATAAGTTAAATATGCTTTTGTGATCGGTTCCTCAAATCTTTATTTTGAAACCCCACTCAAAAAGTTTGATTGTTTCTTTAAAAAAAAAACACAAATTGGCTACAAAAATCCGCCATTTAAAATTTAACTATTTCTATATAATCTGACCATCTATGAATCATCAAAATCGATTTAGCCGTTTAGTAATTCCAAAGGAACATAGGATCGGACATATGTACTCGTACATACAGGTCAAACATATAACCCTCTTTTGGGCTTCGCCGCAGTCGGGTAAAAATATTCAACAAGCTACACATACCTCAAAACTTAATAATCCACTTCGATCTTGGTCTAATGTGTTAAAGACATAGTGAGCGTATTGTGCAGTGTTGGCTGAAAATAATAAAAAGTGCTTATAAAATATGCATCTAGGTATATAATTTATAACATTTATATTGTAAGTTAACTTTAGGCAAATTAATGATTTTTTTAAAAATTCCAAACAAGAGTTTAAGGCATCTGCAATTATTGCTTTTAATAAAATTCTTTTCATTGCAAATATTTTAGTCAAATATAATTATAGAAATGACGCATCAGCCGATGACGTCACCAATTGATGCATTATAAGATTACAGAGATATCAAAGTTATTGTGTATTCAGCTATTTTCAATGACCCACTGCTGGGCACGGGCCTCCTTTAAATGAGGAGTATCAGGCCATAGTTGAGCACACTGGCCAAGTGCAGGTTGACAGACTGAGCATGTTTTTCAAAAACTAGAGATAACAAATATATTATGCAAAATAAGAAGGTAAGTTGTTTATTTATAAACAATAAAATATTTTTTTCAATTGAACTAAAGGAGCAATATAGGAAAAGTTTAAGAAAATAAATACACATAAATGAATACATTTACTTTATTTCTGTTAGGTACATCAGCGATTATAGATCTGACATTTGGAATGGACATAAGTCCAATAAATTACCATAAAGTTGACCCCATATGCACACAAAACTGTTAATGTACACAGCATTTAAAATACTGGCTGTTTCTAAAAATGTCAACTAAAAATTATCACAATGGAATAATTGAAGTCACCTAGAACATTTGGTTTATCTTATTCTCTTAATTATTTTGAGATTTCCAAGATGCAATTTGGGAAACAGATGGGTGCAGAATTGTATCTTGGAAATTCTTACAGATACAAATGTTGGTATTAAAATTAACTTAATTAAAGTTTTTGAGATGGGCCACAATGCCGTGGTTTTCCCGGACAGTTCCTTAAGACAAAATTTACACTAAAGACCCCCCAGTCTGCTGTTGGTACACTTCTATTGTGTCTCCTTCTTCCATTTCCAATGATGTTGGTGTGTCATTTTCATTGATTGGTTGGCCATCAAATCTGAATCGTACAACTTGCATTGACAAACCCTGAAAGTTACAAACATTACAACATAATAAATACAATAACAAGTTTTGTTTTTAATTTTTAGTTTAATTACACAAAATGAAATTTAAATATTCCAAAATGTAATCATAACATAAATACTAAGTAAATTATTGTAAAGACTATCTGCAGAGTTCGGTCCACTATACAATATTTACATACATAAATATTAATTTAACAAGGATGAAAACTATTTGATATTTAAAAGAAGGAATTACAAAAGCATACCATGAATTCACTTAACCATGTACAATAAATAATTTCTTAAGCTTTTTATTACAGATTTTTGAAATAACACAATGTTTAAATATTAAGTAGATAATTATCTACACAAGATTAAGGATCGTAACAGTAAATTTAATTTATTTATCTTTGTTTTGTTGATTAGGAACAAAATCATAGTGCTCTAAAAATATTTTTCGAATTTAGTTTTGTTTTGCTGGCGTTTATCAAAACATGTTACAATTTAGATTAGATTGGACACCTAGCTATTTGTAGACCGAAAATATGAATTGTAAAATAGTAACTAAATGCAGAGCTTTCAAAAGACCGGTAGGTTGTCAAGAGACCCTTCGCTTTATATGTTTATAGAAGTACCTATTTGTTAATAATTTTACTCTAGAACTGAAACTTAAATTAAAAGTTAAAATAAAGATTAATATTTTGAATTATAAATACTAGTTACTAACCGCTCTATCACAGTAGGCATTCATCAATTTTCTGAGAGGTGTGTGTTTCTTTATTTTGAACTGGACAATAGCGTTATCCTGTCCTAAAACTTTTAAGTTGATGTGTTCGCTTTCACCCTGAAATGAAGTTCAATATACGGTACTAGTAAAGATATAGACACTAAGGTAAAAATTGAACAGTGAACACTATAACCACATTGCACTAAAAGCGCCATTCATATCTATATTGCAAGATTTAAATACGAATTATTATTGATACTACGAAATATTATGTACCTTTTTTTCGTCCGCCATTTTTGGATTATTAAAATATTGTTTCCTATGGACACAACTAAAAAGAGTTCAGATGAATTATCAAAGAATCACACAAACTACACTGTGACAGATTTGCGATCCGATGGCGTGGTAATGGCGTCCAGTCGAGTGGCTTGGAGGAAACAGTCAATGCTACCAACATATGCGCACTATGAAGCTAATGGCGCGATTCTGCGCATTGGATACCTTATTAAGATAATATAACAGATTCTGAATACATAATATTACTGTTATCTTTATAATAAAATAAGAAATACCTATTTATTTTATAGATTTACTTTTATTTTAGAAATAAAGACGTAGTTCCGTTTCAATAGTCATTTTTCTTATTTAGCGTACCTATTCATTCCAAAATCTTTTCTTTTTGAGCTTTTTGATTTAAAATAAAAAAAGAAACCATAGATTATTGTAATGTTATTCGGATTAATCTAACAATATTTCAATTTTAAATGACTTACGAAACATAATAAGTATAATCTTGACTTCCTAATCGTTTTATAGATACCAACATTAAATTTGAATATTAGAACGATGGTAGGGTTGTCACTAATCAGAAAACGATACCGGAAATGGCTAGTGTTGTACCTTAACCGATCTTATAGCATTTTACGGTAATTCAGACATTATTTTACTTATAATTCTATATATTATATGCATTTACAATGCAACGATTTTAGTATGGCTAATATAAATAATTTTAATAAAAATGAACCAAATTTCCTGATAAAATGTTATGTCTGAGTTAAAATATAGATTTTAAAAAATAAATATAAAAATGTTTTAAAAAGTAAATAGGTTTCGTTTTCATTATGAGGATTATATAAATAGGATAATAATTTTATAAAATTACGAGAGACATTAGAATTATGTTATGTATAATATTTATTTCATTTCATAAACAATAGAAATAAGTTCTAGGGATTAAATGTATTACCGTCTTGTCTTTTTTTGCTCTTTTACTAACGCATTATATAGCATTCGCTAAGTTCTGCGACATACTCGTATGTGATAGACACCGACGAGTAGCAGAATTGGCTTAGGCCGAGAGACTTTAATTAAATTAAGAATCAAGCATCAAACCCAAGTTGGAATTGAACAAAACTTCTTCGGCATAGTATGCAAATAAAACACAAGTCTCACGTGTTGCTTAAATTAAAAATTACAAACATCTGGAAAGTAATAAACATATTTTGTGATGCAAATTAGGGCCGTGAAACCTGAACGTGCTTTGTAAAAAGGTACATTTAGCGCAAAAGGTAAATAGCAATAAAAATACAAAAAAATATTCTAGTTTGAATTTTAGATATAAAAAAATATTTTTATGTTAAATTATAAGGCTTTAAGGCCTTTTGGCGGATGTTGTACATACAATATTTAAGAATAGACCTGACCTATAAAGTGAAACCTTTCCATGGGAAGTTTATGAGCAATGATTTTTATTTGCTGGAGTTAGCAATGGGCCGTATGTCAGGATTGTAAAGTATGTTGCCGATAACAGGCTGTTTCAAATTATCACCGGTGTCCCTCGCATATTTCGCACGAATTGAAATTGGCTACGTGATTTGATTTTAGGGTAAGTTCAAATACAAAGGTAACTGAAAGGTTACGGAAAGGTTTTCCGGAAAAGAAATTACGATGTCTATTAAACAAAGTTAGCAAGATTTTTATTATTTATCTGTTAAAATATTTATTATGTGCGTAAAAAATAAATGAATAGAGGTTTGTTAGTACTTTACCAACTATATATATTAAAATGAAAATTATACAGTAATACTCATTTTAAATAAGATTTTCAGACCTAAATAACTGATAGTGTAAGATGGTTCTTTATATTTTCATCAGTACATTTTATTTCCTATTATTGGGTGCATGCATACCTACATTAGAAAGTGTTATAATTTCCTCATGTGATATAAGTAAGTATATTTTTCATAAGTGATAATTAACTAAAAACTCACATTTTAAATTAGGCGGTAATGTAATAATATTTTCGGCTAAAATCAATTATAATGTAAAAATGTGGATATCTTTTAAAATTAATAAGTTTTCAATCTGTAACCGGCGTTTCAAAAACATTTTCTTAAAGTATTTGACTAGCCCAAATGCACTGAGTTGTAAATTTTTAAGAAAGAAACTACGATATCACAAACCGCATTTTCAGTAAAGCGGGTGTAACAGCCACTTGAGTACTACTTGAAAGTCACTCGCGTAGTTTCAGCACTTTATGAAATGCATTTTTAGCAAGGCGTACATTGGGAATATTCTTCGAAAAACCCGCTAAATTGCGTGAAAAGGATGTGTGTTTATATTGTATAATTGTATAGGTATGTAATTATATTTAAAAAAAAAAAAACTGTTACCATAAACAATCAATACACATTACATATACACCTAGAATATAAAATTATAAAAATTGACACCTACATATAGGTGTTAGCTATAAATTCTAATGAAACATTATTCTATCTATCATAAATGAAATTATAGCGAGAACAAAATTTAGCGAGGCATTTCTACGTTCTTTGCAGAAATTGATATCCTCCTCTAACCACCCTATCTTGAAAATATTATGTGGAATAAAAGTGTCAATTTTATTTATATATTAAACAATATGATTTTACAATATTTTTTAAATTAAATTGTTACTACTAATTGCTATTAGTGGCAGCCATGTTTTATTGTCTTGGGAAAGTAGAAATTTCCCCCAAACAAAATAAATGTTAACATAATAAATATTAATTAATTATTATTTGTTCTGTCTAACAAGTTTGGTGCTTATTTAGATATTTTAATATCTTTATATTATTTTTTCAAACGCATTTACGGTTTGGAACGTGCGAAACATAATAATATAAATTCAATATAAATCTGAAGAATTGTCCTTTTTAGAAGCGTAATTAAATCAAAGGTGATTTTGCAATTCATGACTGTAACAACTGGGACAAGTACTTCGTTAACAATTCTTTTCTTTATTTTAATAGCCTTTATGATTATTCATTTCTTGTCAAATTTAATTTTTTACCCAAAAAATTCCCTTTTTAAACATTCGGAATTGTTTTAACTTATCAGAAGTAATAATTGAAAAAATATATAATATAAGTCATTAAGCAGGAATATGTAGTAAAATTTTATATATAATATTGTACATATAAATAAATATGTTGGGACATTAACACACACTACCATCTAATTTCAAGGTAAGCTACGAGGCTTGTGTTATGGATACCAGATACATATAATATACATACATATAACTTGAAATACATACATATTATAAATATAAACACCCATGACTAGAGTACAAACAAGCGTGCTCATCACACTAATGAATGTCCCCAACGGGACTCGAACCCGCGACCACTGGCACAGCAAGTAGGGTCACTATAAACTCAGACAAACGTGTATATATGTATAGATATTCACGTAGAAAGTGATTTGTTCTTCTAGCGTTTAACAAACAAAGGTCCTTTCAGTACTATACTTAAAAAGGTAAAATAGGTATAAATTAACTTTGATAGTCTATTACCTCGAATCGAGTTTCATACGCTTTTCATAAAAAGAAAGAGGGATTACTAATTAGCCGATAACATCCCTAAGGCTATCGGCTAATTTATGAACATGATATTTCAGAATTAAGGACGAAAATTTGTCCTTTCTGAGAGTTTTTGTATAATTCCGTATAATAAATTCAGAATATTATAAATGCGAAGGGAATCTAGGGACGTTAAAATATTTAACGTAACATAAAACGTTTATGTTTTTATTAGAATATATCCTCAATTTAAAGAGTTATACAAAAATGATATGCCATATATGTGCCATAATAATTTAACCATAAAATTATGCGGTTAAAGTAATAATAATTTAATTTTGAAATTTTCAGGTTCTAAATATATGAGTGACCTGGATGGACGACCGTTGCAAAGCGCCCACACCCAACACTCAACTTGATAGGATTACATTATTACGTGATGCGTTTTTCGTGTCCGTAGTGTATTATGTATTCAATATTTGTTACTTTGTTTATTCTATCCGCCTTTCCGCAAGCAAACAAATTTACCTAAATTATAATCAAAAAGTTTGAGCAAATCTGAACAATTTTCAGCAGTAAAAATTCTAGTAAAATTTTCTTACGAATGTTGTAATGACGTTAAAATAATATGAGAGGGATAAGAAAAAACTCCACTTACCTTATTGAGCGTCACGAGTCAAGACCAATCTTGCCCCGAAGTATGAAGAATGGTGGGGTAAATAAAACACATTTCTTGGATATTCTATATTTATTTTACAAATGAAATGATTTATTAATAAAAAAATCATATTGTACTTACGTTGTGGCACGATTGCTTACGTATCCAGAGGGCATATATCTTTTGACCCTTTCTTTTGTTGTGCTTTTCTTTGTAATAAAACTTTTAATAAGCTGTTAGTTGTGTTTTTGTTAGCCTTCTTTGATAAAATTAATAATCCGATGTATAGAATTGGTCCTATACCTTTTTACATTGATTATTTGAGTTATATAGAAATAGAGGCTTTCAATTGAAAATAGATTTATTTTCTAAAGGATAAACGTGGGTATCTCTGTACTACTTAAAGAGTAAATAAATCGAGAAATCTTAATTAAATTTTACAAAGGCAATACGACTCTTTTACGTTAATCCCGATACGTGTCTAAATTACTCTAGCTCTACAAAAGAGCAACTGTTCAACTAAGAGCCAAAAATGAAAGTTTTCAATATAAAATAATAAAGGGGCCAATATAAAAACTCTGCGCGTGAGGGTTCCGTAGCCTGGAATTATAATAAATTGTTACGACCAAAAGTAAAATATTTACTCATCTACAACATTCACTTTATTGACTGCATAAGTATGTTTGTATTTCATAAAATTCTATGAGAAATAAAGTTAATTTTGCGACCGAACGAGTGGAATCGAAAATATCCTATATCTCATAAAAATGAATTATTTTCTCAAGGACTTATTTGTGTTCCAGTACGAAATATTTTATTTTATTTTAGAAGCATATGACTCGTAACTATTGGCTCAAGCTAATACAAAAAGAACTTAAATCATCTCAATTTTAAAAATCATAAAAACTTATCTTATTTTTTTAACCCTTACAAGTATGGAGAGCACATATTTTATATTTTTTTACTTTGACTTCAAAATTCTCCCGCTGTTCTTGAGACTAGGCGTACAGGTTTATATAATAGGCTCCAAGTGAAATGGCTATGACATACGGACAAAAGGACATGGCAAATTGATTTTCATTTTTGGCTTATAGCTATTGAAACTTAACAATCTTAATAGCAATATGAATAAAACCCCTAAAATATATGCCAAAGTTACCTGTGTTGGTAGAGGCTATGTATTACTTTGATATATTATGTAACTTACCTCCTTGAGGAAAGAACTGAGAGTAAATCAGCTTGAACGTTTCCTCTCGTACCACGCCCGTAGGGCATTCTGCTTTGAAGCCTCGATATAGCCTTTTTAGCTCTGGTTCACTGAACCGCGTTGCTCTTCGTAATGCTGCGATAGAGTCCGGCCGGTAGCGCGGCAGTTGCTCGCCAAGCTCCTCGAGCTCTGAATCTGCAGTAGTAAGATATTGGAGACTGATTACTCGTCGCCTAATAAATTGACATGCGTACTTCTAAATATTTGTCATGTGGTCATACAATAGATACTTTGTTTAGGCTAAAATCGAAAAAGAAATATTTGTAAAATTACTATTAGGTGATTTTAATATAAAATAATTATTTCAGTGATATAGGCTACTTGTATGGCGGGCAAGATACGTGTTTCTGTGTCATCTCACTGATGATGATGTCTGTGACTGGTGCTGGTTTTACACTATCTAGGGCACTCGGGGCTAGTGCCCAGGGCGGCAAATTTTTAGGGACGACAAAATTCGGAGGGCGGGAATAAAATCTTCGTAAAAATGCTTTTTTTATTTTGCATAAAATGAAAAATAAAAAAACATTAACTGGTAGGTACATTTGTCGAAAAATTAATATCATTTATAATTTTTTTTTGCATTTTACAAAAAAATTATAATGAAAAAATTAAACTTTCAAAATTTTGTTCAAAATTTCGATAATAGGGCGGCATTTGTGCCCAGGGTCGGTAAAGTTAAATCCGGCACTGTCTGTGACTTGTAGACTACATTTACACGCCCACGCTTATGAATGGTCTAGGTGAAATTGGCCGCTATGACTGAATTCGGCGATGTAAAGTATATTAAAATATAATGTTACGTGTAGTATTGATATCTCATTTAGATTACGCGAGCTTTGGGAACAGAGACGTTTCTGGAAGACTTTCTAAATATCGAGTTTTGCACCTCTGAGATTTCCATTTCGAAAGTTTCAGAAAATCTAATATTAAAATAACTGAATAATAATTATTCTATTATTATTATTATTCCATTATAGCCTATAAAACCCTACTTGATCATAATGGGTAGGACCTTTGGGTCGAAGGTTACTATATGGATTTTAATGTTATTATAAACGTCACGACTGAGGCATATAAGAACAAAGCTGCGAAAGCTACTCACGTAATAGCACTTAGATCTTTCCGCTCCAAGTGAATAAACTCGAATAAAGCAGTCATATAGCGAGTCGATATAGTAATAAGCGTTTTACGTGTCCATTATCTTTACAATACATTAGCCGATATGGAAATGAATTAATCTACTCAGGGGGTTAACACTTTATTTTATATGGGTGGAGGAGTTATTTATAAATACCAAATAATATAAACAGGACATTAACAAGCTACCATATATTGTGTATAAATATTATCGTTTTGTAAGATACTATATAAGCTTTGAATTTACTAATATTCATTTGAAGACACGCGATTATTAATTCAGGACTCTTCAACTATCTCTATGTAACATATTATCATTTACTAGCATTGCCCGCGGCTCCACCCGCGTTCAGATGACCAAAAACCAAATTCTTAGGTTTTACATATTAGTACGTACTATTACATTGCAGTTTTTGCATTTTTTCTCAGAAATGAGATATTTTCCCTCAGTAAAAAGTATCCTTTATGTTGACCCGGATAACCAGCTACCATCATACCAAACTTCATCAAAATCCCTCCAGTGGTTTTTCCGTGATGCGGTAACAGACAGACAGAGAGACAGACAAAAAATCCAAATACTATAGATTCGGCTTAGTTACAATTATTTGTATAGATAGATTAATATACTTATGTGCATATATATAAAACTAATGTTGTTTTTGATTGCGCTAAAAAAACCCACTGAATGTGATATTTGTAAGGAATTAAGGATAATGTCAGAGTCCAGAAGTTAATCTATTTGTGAATTTGATTAATTTCGTTGTTAATGGCGGCTATGGTAAAGCTATTAATAGTAGGTAGTCCTATATAGAAGCGCCAGTTCCGAAAAGTAGATGAGATGAAATCCTTTCTTGTATTCTATTGAGTTTCGTGCTTTACCCACTAAAAGCCAGCTTTGAACTAACAATAGAAGGTGAACAATAAGGTCAAATCTCGGTTCATAGAAATGGTTATCGTTCGACATTAATATATATATTCGATGGCGACCGCTATTATCTTAAATATCTTTTGATTTAGTGTTTTTTAATAGAATAATAGGCGTAAAAAAATTTTTTTTTAAATTTATTCTATAGAAAGTAGTTGAAAAGTTCGTAAAACCTCCCACCCCCATCAGAACAGCTTCAGAATACCGTACAGTTGCATTGTCATCAAAATCGTATTATAATTGTGACAAATTTTAACGTAATCGAATTTTAGTAGGTACTAACTAGATACTTAGAATGTCTGCTTCTCTCATGTCAGCTGCTCGTACTGGCTGTCTGCTTTTATTAAATTAAATGGCATATTAAATGATAGTTAATTAATTTTTTAATATTCAATCCATCGATTACCTAACATAATTTCAAAGGTGTTATGTAGATAATTAAAAAAGCTAGAAGCACCAAGATATATAGAGCATACTTCAAAGTAAATTTACAAAGCAACTTTGAACTTAAACTTTTCATATTACTTAACGGAGAAATCTCAAACGACAAAGGTCTCTGCTTAATAGCTTCAATATACCTAACGTTAGTACATTATTTCTTAGATATTAAAGATTGCTTATATTAATATGCCTTTTATGTAGGCGTGTTATTAAAAAAAAACTTTTTATGCAAATAAAAACCGAGATCGATATAGAAATCGAGATATTTATACGAGTAGCAAACCGACAATAAAGGAATTAGACACATAAATACATTACAAATAATGTGATCTTTACATATAGAAGTTAGAAATGAAATGTAAAATTGTTTATTATATATTTAATTAGAAATATATAAATTGTAGACAGAGATAAATAAATAGGTATATTATAAAAATAAAAAAAAGCCCGAATGCGTAAAAGCTAACTAAAAAGATGAAAACAAGTTCACTAAGGAATATATTATTATGTAGTACTAGCATTGCCCGCGGCTCCGCCCGCGTTCAGATGACCAAAAACTAAATTCTTAGGTGTTACATATTAGTATACTCTTACATTGCAGTTTTTGTATTTTTCCTCAGAAATAAGATATTTTCCCGCGGTAAAAAGTATCCTAGGATCGCGCGCTACATCGCCCGGTTTATATAGCTTGAGCAGGCGGTCGAGCGATGCGGGGCAGAGGGGATGGACTCGCCGTAGGCATCTCAATGCTCGCCAAGCATTAAAAATGTTTCGCTACTAATTACTTCTAACAACGATATCTCAAAAACTATTCATCTGATTGATTTAGTGTAAAGAGCAATTTTAATCTGCATTAAATGACTAAGCTAACTAAAATATTCATTTGGATAAGGATTAATACCGAACTAAAGAAAATAACTTTGAAAATAACGTAATGTTTTTAATTAAAAATGTTAACATAAAAGTGGTTATTGTAAGTCAACCGTAAGAGATAGAGATATGCTATCGCGGACTTTTTTGTAGCATTTTTATAGATTTTGAAATCTCTAGTACATTACTTAACTGTATCTTTGCTAGTTTACGCGGCGTTCGCGTGGAAAGTTCCCATTTGGCGAGATTTTTTGCGACCTCTTCAACATTTGTCGCCGTATTTCAGCTAATTTACATAAAAGCATAATAAATTATATACCTAAACCTTCCTCAAGAATTACTCTTTCTATTGTTGAAAACCGTATAAAAATCCGTTCAGTAGTTTTCGAGTTTATCGCGTACAGACAGACAGGAGGACAGACAGGAGGACAGAAAGACGCGGCCGGGGGACTTATTTTTATAATAAGTATAGATTATGCAGTCGGAGACATACATGTATCATCTTTGCCGCAAGATGTACATACTCGTATGTACATATGTCTTCGACTGCATAACACCTTACTCCATCGTGAACTTGTTTTCATCTTTTTAGTTAGCTTTTATGCAGTCGGGTTTTTTATTTTGATAATATATTTATTTATTTACAGCTTTTTCAGTATTTTTAAGTAGGAAAATTAGCGAGAATGATTGTTAACCAACTTTAAATCATTATATATTCTAAGCTGTTATTTAAAATGAAAAATAATGAAAGAAACGTAAAAAATATTTTTAAATACCTATACCCCACTAGACATAGTTCGTCAATTTTCATTTTTTTAATTTTCACATTATGAAATCTAACATCCCCCACATATTTTTTTATGTTACCTATCTTAGAACACTTGGACTAATAAGACGAGTCTAACGATACCTTAATTAAAGAAATCATCGAGTGGTTTGGAAGATATGAGGGAATAAAGAATATTAAACATACAAAGATAGGCGCGAAAAACATTACCCTTCTCTTGCAGTCGGGTAATAAAATAAAGCGGCAGTAGGTTAGCTAGTCTATACATATGTATAAGTCGTTTCTAAGCGTATAAATTAAACTGTTAATACGAATTTGCAGTCCAATGCGCAGGCAGGATTAGCATTTAGTCGCTTTATTAATTGCTGGCTGCGCTCAGTGAAACGTTTTCGCTGGAGATGATTGCTGCGCTGGCTGCCAGTGACGTTGAATAGTAGTTTCTCAAGACATTAGGTTTTATACATCTTACAGTTTAAACTAAGTACTAGATAATTAAACTAAGTTACTTAGTACACGTCTCTTATCATTTTGCGACGTTTTTCGTAATTAGTGCTTTGAGCTTTTTAGATTTTTCTTTTGTATACGTTCAGTATATGAAGAAAAATGTTTTTGTTAAACGATGATTGAATGTACGCCTTATCTTAAGTTGAAACAACCACTCGTTTCGTCTTAGTTCCCAAGGGAAACGTTTACGATAATACACTATGCTAGATTTTGGATAAAGTAAAAATATTTTATATTTAAGTAAAATGCAATATCCGTTAAGGGAATTTAGATAATAAAGACGGCGGACAAACTAATTTAGATAATTAGATAGATTAAGATTGGAAAAACAATTTTATAACGTTCTTAATTTGTAAGGTTTATAAAACTAACATCATGGTGTTAAATTCTTTAGCATAAAATAATATTAACATAATATATTATAATTATTTACTGAATTGCATCGTCAATCCCCTCCATTAGTTTGGTAGGACTATTTTTTGAAAAATCTTATTGAAATAAACATTTTTTTCGATACAGAGGCCGAATCTTAGTTTTTAGAATTCTTGTCTATCTGTCTGTTTGTTATCGCATCACAGAAAAATCACTGGAGGGATTTAAATAAAATTTTGTATGGTGATAGCTGGTTATCCGGGTCATCATATAGGATACTTTTTACCGTGGGTAAATATCTCATTTCTGAGAAAAAATACAAAAACTGCAATGTAAGAGTATACTAATATGTGTAAAACCTAAGAATTTGATTTTTGGTCATCTGAACGCAGGCGAAGCTGCGGGCAATGCTAGCATATTTATATAATCCTTCGAAGTAAGCTGTGATAATAAGTAAAAAAATTAATATATTAAATTTTGTTCTATAAACTTTATAGACGGTTCTTTTTATTTTTCAGTGTTACATGATACTTGGTAGATAGATACATCTATAAAGTAAACCACGAATATGAAAAACTTATCAAATGTGAGTTTGAAATACATTATTATATGTTTATAATAATTAATAGATCTTCTAGAGCTCTATTATTTTATATTATCTGTAATAGAAAGTAATAAAAGGTTCCTGTCACGACAAATATCCAGCAATAGGGTGTCTAAATATTTTACATTGAAACTGCATCAGTTGTTTGATTTTATCCAAGAGACAATACCCTGTAAAAATACACGTTTTATTCAAATATAGTATGTTTCAAATATAAAAAGCGTTATGTATAGTTTCGATAAATATATCGTTCAACGGGTTTACGGGGTTACGGGTATTTCATTTTTATTACTTTGTGATAAGATGTTCATTATTAAACGATTTTTATATCTACGAAAATGAAAATTGTTTCGAAATAAGATACTTTTGAATTCAATAAGTATACTACTACTTTTGACTTCAAAATCACAAAAAAGTTCATTTTTACGGTTCCGTATCTCAAAAGGTAAAAAAAGGAACCCTTATAAGATCACTCTCATGTTCTAGCCCTAATGCTATATACCGATTCGAATATCTCG